CAATACAATTGGCCTCCTTTGTAATCCTATGTGTTTATTTTTTACATTTAAAAATAGCCTTCTGAGAAGGTGCCTGTAGACTTCACCAGACTGCCCAAGAGGGTCTATGATAAAAAGATTAAGAACTTCTGGCCTAGGTGTTATTTGGGAGAACAGCGAGGCTACTAAAAATGGGTGTGAGCTTCTCATAGATCTCATGGACAGCACGAACGTCCCCTGCGGTGGCACCAGAATAAAAACAGGCTGATCATCTCTGATGGTCAGCGTACGTTGACCTTTTTGTTGCAATGGAGTCCCTCGTGTTCTATGAGGCTTCATTCACCATCTCAAAAGCCACTCACTGGATGAAGGCTAAATCTTTCTCTAGAGGTTTTCAAAGTCCTGACCCCGAAGATAGAATTTATTTATTGTAGAAATGGAACCTCGTAAAAATGACCACAGTTTTTAGTTTTCACCCAGTGGGTTTGGAGGGAGTGAAATCTTGGACCCTAAGAGATGTCATCCCAATGAAGGGGTCAATGTGATGCCCATCTCAGGTCATCAAGCTGCTTTCATTCTAGTATACTTAGTACCTCTGTTTCAGAAAGGGGTAGGAGATCTCAGAGATGTCCAAGATCTCAGGGCAAGTCAAAGGTATCAAAAGTATGGACTCTGACCCAAGTCCTGGGTGGTGTTAAGCAGTCACAGGGTGTTTGAGGTAGATAGTGCCTTAACAGATCATCCAGTCCTTATTTTATAAAGGAGTCACATGAGGATCGCAGAGACAAATTGACCCTTCCAACCCTGGGCCTGAGTGCAGGCTTCCTATCTTCTTGTTGTTCAGTCATTTTCAATTGTGTCTGGCTCTCCATGACCTCATTTGGGGTTTTCTTGGCAAAGATTCTGAAGTGGTTTGCCATTTCCTTCTCCACCTCATTTTATAGATGAGGAAACTGAGGCAAACAGGGTGAAGTGACTTGCCCAGGGTCACACAGCTAGTAAGTGTCTGAGGTCAGATTTGAACTCAGAAAGATGAGTCTTCCTGATTCCAGGCCTGGTACCCTATCCACGCACCACCCAGCTGCCTCTCCTATCTTCTGGTCATTTGATAAATGAGACTTGAGGTGGGGAGGTGCTCAGGAATACATTCTTGCTTCTGCCACCCCTGCCAGCAATGTCCTCCTCCTCTATTCTTTCTCTGTGTGGAAACAACATTTTGTCAAGCCTTGGGAAGTTGGATTCATCTCATCAAAGGGCCTTGCACCAATTCCAAGTCAGTCCAAGTTAGTTAGGATTCGACAAGCTGTGTCACAGTCCTGTGAAGTTAATTAGACTGCTCCTTGCCTCAGTTTCCCCCATTGTAACATGACACAGCCCTTCCCTAGGGGGAGGCCAACCCAAGAAGTCTCTCTTTGAACGAGACTTACATTTTGTCTTATTGTGCTTCAGTTTCCTGCTTCTAAAGTGAGATGTGCTGACTGGCTGCCTGTCTAGAGAGGGGTAAATTTGTGAATTAAGGAAAGAAAAAAGATTCTGTAATTCCACAACTCTGATATTATTGGTTATTATTATGCTCTCACTTACATTTTATATTTTAATCACCTGATTGACAAGAAACAGAAATATTAGCAAATATTAGCAAGAATATGTCTTGTTTGTGGGATAATTTTGATTTCAATCTTTTATTTATTTGCCTATTTATTCATTCAATCATTCCTTCACTTATTTATTCATTAATCTACCTACCTATCTGTCTGTCTGTCTGCCTATCTATCTAAGGGCAGATTTGTAATTTCATTGGTGTAGGGAGCCCTTTCCCATTGAGGATACTCCTACCAATATAGATAGGTTACTGCTTTGCAATTTACAATCCTGGAGACCTACCTAGGGCATTGGAAGGGCAAGTCATCAGCCTAAGATCACATAGCTAGTACGTAATAGAGATAGACCTCAAACTCAGGCCTTCTTGACTCTGAAACAGGTCTTCTTTGTACTATACAATTCTGCCTCTGGACTTTTAATTAACCTTTTGGATGATACAGACCAAAGCATGCTGCAGTGAGTTCAAAGGAACAGTCCCAAATTCTTAGATTTCATGGAATGTTGCTTAAAAAAAAAACCTTCTCTGGCTCTTGGGAGTCCTAGTAAGATGGTTTGGTGGAGGGTCTATGCGTGAGAAGACCCAGGTTCCAGGCCTTACTCTTCCATTTACTAGAAGTGTGAACTTGGGAAGTCTTCACAGTGCAATGAAAAGAGGGCTGAATTTGTAATTAGAAAACCTAGAATAAATCCCAGCCTTGTTCCTTACTAGCTGTGTGACTTTGGGAAAGTCATTTAACTTCTCTGGTTTTCAGTTTCCTAATGTGTAAAATGATCTTTAATGTTTCTTTTGGTTTCTTTTTTTGTTTGTTTGTTTTTTGAGTTAATCAGGGTTAAGTGACTTGCCCAGGGTCACACAGCTAGTAAATGTCTGAGACCAGATTTGAACTCAGGTTCACCTTACTCCAGGCCAGTGCTCTATCCACTAAGCCACCTAACTGCCCCCTTCAGTTTTTTAATGATGCTATAATCTCCCTCTACCCCAGCCCCAGGTTTCTCATCTGCAAAAGGTACAGCGATGCTTGTAACAAAGGGTTGTTATGAGGATCCAATGAGATTATGTCTATAAGATGTTTTGTAACCACAAATCACTATAGAAATAGGATTATTATTAATACTTAACAAATGCAGAGACTGTTGTTACAACCATGTCAATTATAATGGGATTAGATATGGTGTTGAATCAGAGCAAGCCATAAGCAGAGTCTGTTCATTTATATCAAAGATGGTACCTGTGGCTGCCCCTAGAAGTCCTGGTCATACATGGGAAGAAATAAATAAAGGGGAAATGGGAAAAAAAGCAGGAAAATAGGAAATGCAGTGGGAGAGGTAAGGGGGAAGGAAGAGAAGAAAAGGGGTGTATGTGGTGGGAGTAACAAGATACCTCAGACTGGGGGAGCTAGGAGGATACAGTGGCAGTACAGTGGATAGAACACTAGCCCCAGAGCGAGGAAGACCTGAGTTCAAATGTGACCTCAGACACTTACTAGATGTGTGACCCTAGGCAAGCCATTTAACCCCAGTTGCCTCCAAAAAAAATAAAATGAAATAAAAAAGATGCCACCGACAGCTGCCAGTGTGGGAACAAGGGAGACCTGGGTTCAAATTCCATCTCAGCTTCCAGTGTGACCTTGGGCAAATCACTTTCCCCATACTAGGCCTCATTTTCTTCCTCCTTAAATTTAAGGGATTAGACTAGATGGTTTCTGGGGTCTCTTCCAGCTCTGACATTCTGTGAAACTCTATATGTCCCTTGCCATGACTCCATTCCATTCAGAAAGGCTTGGCTTCTTCTGAGACCAAAGGGCCAGAAAGATTATAATGTGCCTCAGAAAATCAAGGAGATCACAAGGACAAAACAGGGAAATGGAGATCCCTCTGGGGGGTAAGGTCAGAAGACCCTCTATCTATAGCTGTCTATTTAGAGAATGAAGCAAGATCCTTGGTCTCAAGTAAACTCCTTCTGGCAAAGTGTCAGAGTCATTGGAGAAGAATGTTTTCCACTTTCCACGCTAATTATAATAATAGCTCACTTTTCAATAGCCATTTTGGATACAACATATAAAAACTTTTCTCACAGCAGCCTTGTGAGGTAGGTAGAATTATTCCCCTATTTTATAGCCACAGAAGAGATGGTAGTTTTGGCTACTGGAAAAAGGTCTAGTCTTGGAATCACAAAGCCCTGAGTTCAAGTGTAACTTCTGGTACGTATGGCCATAGGCAAATGGTTTAATCTCTCTAGAACAACTCACTAAAATCATAGAAATGAAATGGACCTTGTTCCTTGGAAGGCCATCTCAGTCAATCCATAGAGTGCCGGCTATAAGATACCTTACGAGTAATCATTCAACCTTTGTCCAGACTACAGGGAGAACCCAACCACTTCTCAAGGTAGCCCATTCCACTTTTGTACAGCTCTAATTGTTAGGCTGCTGGGTAGCGCCATAGTGCACAGAGCGCCAGGCCTGAAGTCAGGAAGACCCATCTTCCTGAGTTCAAATCTGGCCTCAGACACTTTCTAGCTGTGTGACCCTGGTCAAGTCACTTAACTTCTGTCTGCCTCTGTTTCTTCATCTACAAAATGGAGATAATAATAGGACCTACTTCCCAAGGTTGTTGTAAGGATCAAATGAAATATACATAAAGTGCTTTGCAAACCTGAAAGCGCTATTTAAATGCTAGCTGTTGGTGTTGCTGCTATTGCTTTTATCATTATATCATGCTGCCTCCTTGCTTGTCCCCTGACTTCTTACATCATTCTTCAATTCTGAGCTCTACAGTTTCCAATTCCCCTTTCTCTTAGGCTCTCTCCCTTCTTCCAATCAAGGTACAAAGATGACAGTACCTACCAATTCTATTTCATCCAGCCAGAACTGATCAAATCCCAGTACATACAGAGTACTCTGTCAGGCACTGACACAGGGGTAACAATCGTTAAACATTTTTTTAAGCACCTACTATGTGCCAGGCACCATACTAAGTGCTGAGGATACAAAAAAGAGGCAAAAGACTTACCTTGCCCTCAAGGAGCTTACAATCTAATGAGGAAGACAACTTGCAAATTAATATGCACAAAGCAAGCTACATAGAGAATAAATAGGAAATAATTAACAGAGAGAAGGCACTAGAGTTAAGAGGGGATGGGAAAGGCTTCCAGCAAAAGATGGGATTTCAGTTGGGATGCAAAGGAAGTTTGGGAGGTCAGTAGGTGGAGTGGAGGAGGGAGAGCGTTCCAGGCACATTCCTGGTCAGGGATGATTTCTAGAGCCTACGGATAGACAATGAATCAAGTTCCTCAAGTTGCTTATTGTCCCTTCTGGTGAAATCCTGTTCCCTTCTTTTCTCCTGCCGCCTGCAGTCCCAAGGAAAGTCCAGCCTCCTGCTCCCCATCCCCTTCTGGTTTCTTACTCGAGTAAGTCAAGATGCCTGGAGGGTACAAAGGCGAGTGTGGGGACGATGTGGACCCCCTGCCTTTTCTGGCACCCCCCGAGAAGGAGAGGATCGAAGCTATGAACAAGCCTTATGACATCAAGAGGTCGTGCTGGGTGAAGGACGAAAAGGAAGGCTTCATGGCTGGTGAGATCCAATCCGAGCAGGGCGACCGAGTAACGGTCAAGACTATCACCAACCAGGTAGGTGGGGAGACCTCCCCCAGGGTGAACCCCAATTCCAGGGGTTATCTTTATGGCATAACAAGAATCAAAGGATAAACAATTTAGAGCAGAAAGGAACAAGAGAGACTGTCATCTTATAGATGAGAAAACTGAGGCTTTAAGAAGTACTAGCCCATGGCTTGCTAGTAAGTCTCAAAGGCAGGATTCAAACTCAGGTCCTCTGAGTCCAGATCAAGGGCGCTTTCCATTGTACCTTACTTGCGCTGACTCAAAGTCCAGTCCAAGACTGCCACATCTATTCCAACTCCAATACTTTACAATTGAGGAAACTGAGGCCCACCAAGCTTAAGTAATTTGCCCAGCATTGTAGGGCAGCCATGTGGCAAAAGGTAACTGGGTGGTGCAGGGGACAGAGCACTAAGCCTGGAGTCAGGAAGACCTGAGTTCAAATGTGACTATCTTTGTGACCCTGGGCAAGCCACTTAACCTAAATTGCCTCCCTCATCCTCCTCAAAAAAGAAAGAACATTGAATTTGGTGCCAAACGACTAGGGTTTGAGTTCTAGTTCTGTCACTTAGATGACATGGGGGTAAATCACAAGGCTGCCTCTCTGAGCCTTAATTTTCTCATCAACAACTAATGATAATTAATAATTATTAGTGCCTAAAATACTAATACTACCAATATAGATTTAAAGCTGAAAAGCACTTCAAAGGTCATCTAAATCTCATTTATAGATGAGGAAACTGAAGCCCAGCAAGATTAAATAACTTGTCCAAGGTTACCCAGACAGTAAGTAACAGTAGGGCCTTGAACTTAGGTCTTTGAGAGTAGGCATTGCACAAGCGATAGATGGCAAACTTTAGAGTTAGAAAGGCTTGGGTTCAAATCCTGTCTGTACTACATCCTGGCTTGTACAAACTCAAGCAAGTCATAAAACTTTTTCTGAGCCTCAGTTTCCCTATCCACAAAATGGGAATAATAATACTTGTACTACCTTCCTCATAGGGCTGTTGTGAGGAAAGTGCTATGTAAACCTTAAGGCAATACAGAAATGTGCTATTATGGTCAGCATCCTCTTCTTCAACAAGCATTTTTAAGTGCCTGCCACGTGCCAGATACTTTGTGGGTTAAGTGCTGGATATACAAAAAAAGGCAAAAGACAGCCCCTATTCTCAAGTAGCTTACTGTCTAATGGGGGTAGGGGTGGGAGTAGGGAGAGAGACACAACCTGCAAACAAGCAAGTATGTACAAACAAGAAATAAGATGAACTGGAGATGGTAATGAACAGAGGGGAGGCAACGGCATTAGGGGGAATGGGGAAAGTCTTCTTATAGATTTTAACTGAGACTTGAAGGAAACCAAGGAAGCCAGAAGGTAGAGATGAAGAGGGAGAGAATTCCAGGCATGGCGGGCAATCCGTGAAGCTGGGAGATGGAGAGAAACAACAAGGAGGCCAAGAGCATGTAGGGATAAGTGAGGTGTAAGGACACAGGAAAGGTAGGCAGGGGCCAGGTTACTGGAGGTCTTTATAAGCTAATGAGAGGATTTTATATTTGGTCCTGGAGTTGATAGGGATCCATTAGATGTGTGTGCGTGTGCGTGTGTGTGTGTGTGTGTGTGAGAGAGAGAGAGAGAGAGAGAGAGAGAACAAAAGAGAGAAAGAAAGAAAGAAGAGGAAGAGAGAGAATGAGGAAGAGAGAGGAGAGAGAGAAGGGGAGAGAGATTCTTTAGGAAGATCCCTTTGACAGCTAAGTGGAGGATGCCCTACCAGCAGGCTATTGTGGTAATCCAAGTATGAGGAGACAAGGGTTTATACCAGCGTGACAGCAGAATCAGAAGAGAGAAGGTATATACTGTACAAAGAGATGTTACAAAAGTAAAATCAACAGGCCTTTGCAACAGATCGAGTGAGAAGGAGTGAGGGCTTCTAGGTTGTGAGCCTGCGAAAATGGGAGGATGGGGGTGCCTTCCACAGTAAAAGGGAAGTTAGGAACAGGGGAGAGTTTGGGGGTGGGGAACGGTAATGAGTTCAGTCGTGGGACATTCAGTTTGAGATGCCCAATGTGTAGCTGGAGATGGAGGTTGGGAGAGAAATAAGGGCTAGACAAATACATTTGAGAATCATCAGCATAGAGATGATAGTTGAATCCATGGGAGCTGACAAGATCACCATGTGAAATTGTGGAGAAGGAGTAAAAAAAAGAAGACCCAAGAAGACTGACCCATTATTGTGAAAGGCACTTTTTCCCATGTCGAGTGAGTTTATCAGCTTGTTCATTGTCCCGAGTCTGTGTCTCCCAGTAAAGGTTGCTCATGGCTGCCTATTTGGCTATGTTGGCTTATGAGGGAAGCCAGCCTCCTTGGGACACACAGAAGTCCCACAGTTATACCTTCTTCCCCACCTTCTGTGCAGAGAAGATAGAGGAAGCCATAGGGAACAAAGCACTGGGGTTAATATGGTTGTTGACCATAAAAGTAAAGTTCTATTCTTAGGAGAAATGCATTTTCTGGAAAGGCAGGGGATTACAGAGGCACATTGCTCAAAGGGATACCCCACCCACCCACCCACTGAGGTCTGTGCGTGACTAAAGGCAAAATGATTCAGTTAAGTATTGACTTGGAGTGCTTTCGGTATCTGGAATACACCAGTGAGGCACAGGGATTTAAAGAGAAAGGTGTGTGTGTGTAGCCTTGACCTAACCAGCTATTAAGCTAAGGCTGAGCCTCTCAAGGACCTGCGTTTAAATCCCTGCTCTACCATTTACCTCCATGTGACCTTGGGCAAGCTACATAACCTTGCTGGCCTCCGTTTCTCCATCTGTAAAATGAGAAGGTTGGATTAGATGACTTCTGCGGTCCCTTTCAAATCTAAATCTCTATTAGTGTAAATATTATTCCCATTTTGTTGATGAGGAAATTGAGGCTCAGATTCACCTAGTGTCACATAAGGGGCAGAGCCAGATCTCAAACTCAAGTCCCTCGCACCAAATCCAGTCCTCTTTAAACCACACAATGCTGATCCCCTAGTAAGAGGGATAATTAGTTTGGATGAACTTCAGAAGTCCGGAAATATCTGGAAGTGGTTGTCGGATCTTGAACTCAGGGGTAGCTAGCCAGATTCATATCACTCTTCTCTCTACTTATTTTTGGGTTTAACTCTTTAAAAAGCTATTTTTTTTCCTTTCTAGCCTTGTTGGGGAGGCTGTGGGGTGTCTTTATAAAGAAAAAATGGAATGGGAACAGATTGCTGTACTGTGCAGCAACCACCCTCCCCAGCCCATCCCCACCCTCTCTAGGCAACCAGCCAATAGCCGTGTTTTCTTGGCCAACAGCATCTCAGAAGCCAAGTCTACCAAAGAGCAGTCCCTATTTTTGCTTCCCTTCAAGCTGCCAGACTGAATCTGGCTGAAGGAAAAGTGTGGGAAGAGGGCTGTGTGGTCAGTCAGAGGGGGCTCTAAGGTCTTGGAAGCAGATGTGGTCATGTTTCTCTGAATAATGAGCATGTTGATGGTTTTTTTTTTTCAATCTTGCAGACACTTACTGTGAAGAGAGATGATATCCAGCAGATGAATCCACCCAAGTTCTACCAGGCCAACGACATGGCCGACATGACCTTTCTGAATGAGGCCAGCGTCCTGGATAACCTCCGACAGTGTTACACCAACATGAGAATCTATGTAAGTGGAAGAATGTAGGAGGCACCTAAGTCATCCAGGGTTGCCCACAGCTTTGGCTCAGGTGGTACAAGACAGAGACCTTTCTGATGATTGAGGTCATCCTGTCTACAACAGCCTAGCCCCCACATTCTGTAGACAGGATGACCTCCATGTTGCTTCAGTTTGGGGTAAATTGGTATTCAGCTGGCAAGCTAGCTTGGAAATCATGGCATAGCCTCCTTCCTCAGCAGACAGGAAGGTATGGATAGAGTTCTGCCCCTGGAGTTGGGAGACCCAGGTTCAAATCCCACCTCAGATACTTACTAGCTGTGTGACCAAAGGTAAGTCAGAACTTCAAGTTCTTCATCTAGAAAGGGAGGCTAAAAATTGTGCCCATTTCACAGGATTGCTCTGAGGAAGGTGTTTTGCAAGCCTTAAAGCACTATAGAAACATGAGTTATCACTATTATTAACATTAATAAATACCCATTCACTCCAAACTGAAGCATAATTTTTTTTCAGTTTCTTTCCTGAGACCATGTGACAAGAAGGCTCACTTCTCCCATCTTGTCACCTATAACATTTCCAAGACAGTGTCAACAGGAATCTTTCCCTGCCCCAAGATTTTTCTAACATCCTATTTATACCTTAAATGAGAGGGAGCCTTACAAAGTGGAGCAAGCACTGGCCTTTGAGACAGGAGAGACTTGGGTTTGAATCCTGGGTGCAGACACCTACCAGCTATGTGATCATGGGCAAGCCCTTTAGATGCTCTGAATCTCAGTTTCATTACCTGTAAAATGGGTACCTGTGGAACCTGCAGTAGAGAGTTATTGTAAAGATCAAATGAGAAAATACATGTAAAGTACTATATAAATAACAGCTATTATTACAGGAATTTACTAAAACTGATGCCATTCCTATTCTTTGAAGGTCACAGAAGATAGATTTAAAGCTGAAAGAGACCTCAGAAATCATTTAGTCCAACTCTGCCATTTTACAGAGGAGGAAGCTGATGCCCAGAAAGGCAAAGTCACTTTCTAGGGTCATGCAGCTTGCTATTGGCAGAGTCGGGATTTAAACCCACATCTTCTGCCTCCAAATTCTGGGCTCTTACCATTGTTGCTGCCTCTTAGAGGCAGTTGTATGGCTTAGTGGATAGAACACTGGGCTTGGAGTCGAGGAACTGAGTTCAATCTGGCTTCTGATACTTACTAGCTATACCACACTGGGTAAAACACCTAACTGTTATCTACCTCAGTTTCCTCATCTGTAAAAGGGAGATGATAATAGTAGCACCTACCTCCCAAGGTTGTTGTGAGGATCAAATGAGATAATATTTATAAAGCGCTTTGCAGACAGCCTGGCACATAGTAGGCGCTTCATAAATGTTCATTTCTTTCTTGCACTACATTGCCACAAACCTTAAGATGTAAAGATTTATTTTCTGATCAGTTTTACAACCCAAGACATGAGAATGCAATTCCTCACAGTTAAGGTTGCTGATCATTGAAATGTGTCCCTGAAAGAGATTCTAGACTTAATCTCCCCTGGTTAGTACAGGGTAGGTTGGGTGAAGCCTCAAACCAAGGGGTGGGGCTAGATAATTAGATGAGTTTCCTGTAGCCTTAGGTTTCCGTGATAACACCTATGATCTTTGCAATGTCTGCCATCCCACCATCCTAATTGTATTTTTAATAATAAAAATTAATTTTTGGATCATATCTAATAAATACAGATCCATGTGAGTGCTTAGCTAATGTCAGCTGGGGGACTAGAAAAGACTAAAGTGTTTGTTCAAGCCTGGGGCAGCTAGGTAGCCGAGTGGATAGAGCGCTGGGCTTGCAATCAGGAAGACTCCTCTTCATGAGTTCAAATCTGGCCTTGGACACTTACTAGCTGTGTGACCCTGGGCAAGTCACTTCACCCTGTTTGTCTCAGTTTCCTCATAAGTCAAAGGAACTGGAGAAGAAAAGGGCAAACCACCGCAGTATCTTTCCCAAGAAATGGGGTCAAGAAGAGTCAGACATAACTGAACAACAGTGCTAATTAATGGCAGAGTAGAGATTAGAACTCATGGCCCAGGAATGGGCAATCTGTCTCTTGGCCTGTGAGCCACAAACTTCTCCTCATACTGGACCTGAATCTCTGATGAGATTTGTCTTTAACCCCATTTATCCATCACTCAGAGGAATGATGCTTGAATCCATTTATAGACTGTTGTGTTGCAGTAGGAAGAGCACTGACCAGGAAATTAGGAGGCCTGGATTCTCATCCTGGCTCTGTCCCTGATTTACTGGGTGGCCTTGCTATGGGCTGGTTGCTTCCTCCCTCTGGGTCTCAGTTTCCTCATCTGTAGCATGAAGAAGGTAACTCTACCACGGCTAAAATGTCTGTCAGTCCTGACACTTGAGACTTTATATGGCCTTTTCTGTGCCTGAGGCTGTCAGGTATAGTTGGAAGAGTGTTGGATTCTGAGTCAATGGCCGGGGTTCAAATCTTGGGTCTGCTTACTTCCTGTGACCCTGGGCCTCCATGAGCCTTAAGGTCCTCATCTACAAAATGAAGAAATTGGACTTGATGATTTTGAAGGCCTTCTATTTTTAAATCTGTGCTCTTAATCACTGAAATGGGGTTTACCTTCCTGACTGCCAAACTGGCCCTTTCCTAATGGCTGAGCACGATCTGGCAGACCTGTCTGTAGGGTTAACAGAGAGGCTAGTATTTCTCTTTAAAGAGTACATTGAAAAGAAGTTGCATTTTACTTAAATAATAGCAAAGACACAGACACCGATTTGGTCCTGAGAAGGAAAACCCTTTTCTCATTCATTCTGGTGGAATGCGCTCTTGTGTGATTAATAGAATGAGGCACAGAGAGAAGGTCCACAAAGCGGGCAGAGGAGACTGCATTTGCTATTTATGGGAGGTTCTTGGAAGGGCAGACTGACTTTCTTTTCTTCTTGTGTGTGTTTCTCTCTCTCTCTCTCTGTCTCTTTAAGATCTACTCTGGTCTGTTCTGTGTGACAGTCAACCCATACAAGGTGGCTTCCCATTTACGGCGCCCGAGTGGCCAACATGTACAAGGACAAGAAGCGTACAGAGATGCCCCCTCGCCTCTTCTCCATCTCTGACGATGCCTACCATGACATGCTCATGGGTAAGTGTTTGCTAGGGAAGAGAACTTCTCATCTGGACCACTGAGTCTGAGGGACATTTCTTTACCGTCAAGGACATGGAGTGAAAGACAGTGTGTCATAGTGGATTGAGGTCTGGCCTTGGAGTCAGAAAGACCTGGGCCTAAGTCCTACCTCTAAGCATGACCATAACCTTGGCCAAGTCCAGTGACTTTGTAATGCTGAAGGCAACTTTTTGGATGAATGCATAAATAAATGAATGCGTAAATAAATAAATAAAAACTGTAAGTAATTTATTAAGCGCTTAGTATGTGTCAGGCACAGTGCTAAGCACTGAGAATAGGAATACAAGCAAAAAGGCAGCCCCTGCCCTCAAGGAGCATAAGCTCCTTCTAACACACAAAAAGGAAGCTGAAAATGGAAGGAGAGTAGAGGTATATGATTAGGGGGAGGTGGGGGAAATGGCTTGTAGAAAAAGTCTGGAACGCAGCCTGGAGAGGAATAAGATGTTCTTGGCCTGTGTGCCCTCCTTAAATGGAAGTTCTAGGAGGCACCATCTAAGGGGAGAGGCCTCAGGGGAGGGGGATGCTTCTAGGATTCCAGAGCTTGAGACAGCTTCAAGATGAAGAGCTGGGGCATGGCAGAGGAAGTCTAGAGTGTAGCCTGGAGAGAAATCATGATGTTGGAGAGGAAAGATCATATGAAAATGAAGTGTTGATCTCCCTTGGAGTAGGGAGTTTCCATACTGAGAATTCCTCATACTATAAAAAAATCACCAATCTGGGGTAGGGATGGGGAAGAAGGGACACGGCTATTAGGTTGATTTGATAAAAATACCACAGCTCTGCCCTACAGTCTACATTCCCAGTTGAGAATCAAAGCTTGTAAAAATGTTGTGGGTTGGTTAGCTTTGAATAATTAACTTTAAGACTTTTATAACATGCATCCAAATACAAAAAATTAATTTCACCTAACAGTCAAATGTCTTGATACTTCTAGGACTTAATAGATTTTTGTGAGTTGTGGTGGTCAGTAAGTGCGTAACCTCAAGAGAGTTACACTGAATTTGGCCAGATTGTGTCTAATCAAGTCACAAGTATGCATAAGTATGTATTAAGCATTTACTCTAATGCTTTCTGATGGTCAGTTCCTCTTAGAGACTCCATTTTAAGGATACACCAAGGCCAGAACGAATATTCATTCCTTCATTCCCCTCCAGACTCTGTTCCTGACTTTCTGGACTTTTTTCTCCACCCTGTCCCCTGTGCAGGTTACTTTCTATGGTACACACAGTTCCCTACTCCCCCCATCCCTTTCTGCTTCCTTTCATGGGTTGTCTTCTCAAACTCCTTGAAAGCGGAGACTCTCTTTCTTGCTTGTATTTATATTTTTAGCACTTAGTAGAATGCCTGATACATAAATCCTTGTTGATTGACTGAATGGCAAACGCCAGGCACTTTGTGAAGCACTGGCCATATTGGACACACTCCCCAAAGAAACGCAAAAACAGTTCCTGCCTTCAAGGAGCTCACATTCTAAAGAAAAAAGACGGCATGCAAACAACTATGTATGAAAAAGATACATACAGGATAAATTAGCGCTAATCCCATGCTTAAAGTCTTTCCAGCATGATAGGAGATGCCAAAGCTTAGGCTCTGCTGGCAAAGCCTTCCAGAACCCAGGGAAACCTCTGTGTCTTCATGAGGCATCAGACTAGGCCTTCTAATCAGGCTTATTACTCTTGACTTTATACCAACCATAGAGTCAAGAAACCAACTGAGTAAATACTAGGCGGAAGGCATTGTGGTTTCACAGGAATTTCTGGGATAAATGAACTAGGGGTGTTAGGCTTAATATGAGACCACAGTGTCATGCCATTGTCCAAAATGCTGATAGAATCATGGGCTACACTGACAAAAATAAAATGTCTAGAAAAAGGAAGTTTATTAATTCCACTGAATTCGCATGTGGAGCCCTGTGTTAAGTAATGGGCACCACTTTTTTTTTAGAATAAACATTTATTGATATCTTTTGTTTGAATATCACCTGTATTTCCCTATGTTTTCCTTTCCACCCCAGCCATCCCTTTTGATAAAGAATACAAAAGAAATTTTTAAAAAGCAATCCAGCAAAACTAAACAAACCATAAAAAAAGCACATTTTATACAACTTTCCAAAAGCATAGGCCCCCACCTTTGCAAAGGGTGGGTGGAATGAGTATTGCTTTAGGAGGGACGTTGACAAACATAGAGTTGGGTGACTAGGATGGTGGCATACTTGAAATAATGTTGGTCCAAAGAACCATAGGTTTAAACCTAGAAGAAAATTTATTGGGTTTTGTTTGTTTGTTTTTTGTGTGAGACAATTGGGGTCACACAGCTAGTGAGTGTTATGTGTCTGAGACCGAATTTGAACTCAGGTCCTCCTGACTCCAAGGCCGCTGCTCTATCCATTGCACCACCTAGCTGCCCCTTAGAAGGAAATTTAGAAGCCATCCAATGCAATCCCTTCATCGCATGATAGGTAGTTAAACAAACTGTTCAGCCTAGAGAAAAGAAGATGTAGGAGGCACTTGATAATTGTTTTCTAGGATTGGAAGGGTTACCCCGTAATGGGAAAATTACATCTATCCTTTGTGCTCTAGAGGACAGAAGAAGAACAATGGATAAAAATTAAAGGGAGGCAGATTTCAGCTTAAGAGAGGGAAGGAAACAAGCATTTATTAGGCACCTACTATGTGCCAGGCACTGTGCTAAGTGCTTTACAAATGGTATCTCATTTTATCCTCACAACAAATTGAGGAGGTTGGTGTTATTATCTCTAATTTGCAGTTGAGGAAACTGAGGCAGACAGAGGTTAAGGTGACTTGCTCAGGGTCATACAGCAAGGAAAGTATCTGAGGCTGGATTTGAACTCAGTCTTCTTGAGTCCAGGCCTGGCACTCTATCCAATGAGCCACCTTGCTTCCTAATGCTTAAAATAATCTGAAAATGGGATGCCTGCCTGGTGAGTCACGAGTTTCCCCATCAATGGAAATCTTCAAACAAAGGCTGAAGGGCTGTTTATCCTGCAGAGGAGATTCATGCATCAGGCAGGAGTTAGGCTGAGAAAACCTAGAGACCTCAGACTTCCCAGCTTTGAGATTCAGTGAGTCTCAGTCTCATTGATAAATACCATTCTGCGCCTGAAGCCTCTAGCAAGGGTAAGAATGGTGACTCAGATGGATAATTGTTTGGGTCTGGTTGTAGTCGAAGCCTAAATAGCTAAACTGGGAAAGTGAAAATGTTTGCTAATTGCATCTTGGTATCTTTTTTTCCCCTTCCTACAGATCGTGAAAATCAGTCTATGCTAATCACGTAAGTATTCCTTCTGTCTTCTGGTCTATACACATAATTATGTTGGTCTCTTGTACGTATAATTAGACATTCACATTAATTATTAATTGCCTGTGCTTTACAAGTAACTTTGCAGGCTACAAATAGGTTTAACTGTAGCAAATACCTCAAGTCGATGTCTCTTTAACTGATGGGGGTATAGTGAATGATTCTTCCTGAGGCTCCTAACACCTGTCCCTATTGTCAGAGGGCTGACAATGCCTCCAGAGAGAAGGATCCAATCTAATTCAACCTGAAAAACATTTGTTAAGTGCCTGTTATGTACATGACTTAGCAGATAGAAGGCTGACCTCAGAGCCCAAAAGATCTGGGTTCAAGTCCTGCCTCTGAAACATACAGGCTTATGTGACCTGGGCAGATCAAGTATTCTCTCTACGTTTCCATGCAGTTCTCATAGACTGCAGTTACAGAATGATTATTGAAATGTGTCAGGGGAGGGATTTGCTCTACACTGATGAAATTGCAGGTCTAGACCAATGGATGCAAGGTACCATGCTAGATGTTGGGTATACACAAATACCAGGATTAGCAATCTCAGTGGGGTAGGAGGTCCTTCTGATGATCCAACATTACTCCTGACTTTTAAGTTTAATCTGTATTATCAGTGTTTTCCCCGACACAATTAAATCTAGAGAATCAACAAAACAATAAATGAAGCCTTAATTTGTAGTGTTTACTGATGTCCAAGGTGTAAATGCTCACAATAAAAATTTTCATTGGGCTCTTCAAGGCTCTGCCCACACTTGTGATAGAGGCCTTCTACTTTCGCCTGACTTTACAAGGTTATTAGTGGACCACTCTGATTATCCTCCTGTCAGTCCTTACTCTCACTATGGGGGTGCTGGGAACACAAAGAATAATTTAAAAAAAACAACAACAATCCAGTCCCTTGCCCTCATGGAGCTTGCATTCTACTAAGGAGACATTACTGAGGATGTCCATTCTTGGCATGAATCCTGGTTGCTGTTGTTACTGTGCATGGCATTTTCTGCCTGTTGGTTCTTCATAGGCCTCTTTTTTTTCTCTTTCAATCCCTAGTGGAGAATCTGGTGCTGGCAAGACTGAAAATACCAAGAAGGTCATTCAGTACTTTGCCAATATCGGAGGCACTGGCAAACAGTCTTCATATGACAAGGTATGGCTTTCCAAATGGGTGGAAGGAAAAAGAGGGCCCATCAGTCTCAGGAGGGATTTAGTTGCCCCAGAAGGCTACATTTTTTCCCCCCTAGAAGGGCAGTCTTTAACCGCCTTGGACTGGGATTTGACATCCAGAAACCAGTCAAACCTTGGAGAGGGAAAGATTGTTGAGATAGTTTAAAAAACAAACAAGTAGCCATAGAAAGCCTATTTGTGCAGACTCTCTGTGCTGCCCTAGGTAGAAGTTTCCCCAAAATAAGGCCTACTTCTTTCTCTAGTTAATGGGAGCCAAGAATGCAAAGAAATCTATCAGAGCATGGAGATCCCTGTGATTGTTATGGAAACACAGCCAAAAAGGGGAGGAAAGTTTGTTTAGATAGAATGAAAGGAACACAAAGAAATGGTTTGCAATCTCTTTAGAGACTGCTTCCATCGATGGGAAATTTTTAATAGCTATTAAAGATGAAGGAGTGTTTACAGAGATAGTGAGCAGTGCTTCCTGTGGCAGGCCGGCTCACTGCCTAGTTAAGTCAGTGTGGTGGAACCATAGTTTCTGACTCCCAGAGTGGCAGACATCTAATAATTCTGTCTTCTGTTTCTCCTGGGATAGGGATATCTGGAGAACAAATCATCCAGGCTAACTCTGTGCTGGGGGCTTTTGGTAATGTCAAGACTACCAGGAACAACAATTCCTCTCGATTTGTGAGTACTTTATAACAACCCTTTAGGTCAACATTTGCTTTTGCCCATATCACTGCCTGACTTCAAATCAACTTCAAGAGCAGGTTACCAATGATAATAATAGCTGGTATTTATATAGCACTTTTAAGGTTTACAAAGATATGTACATATATAAAATTCCACTTAATCCTTACAATAATCCTGTGAGGTAGGTGCTATTACTATCTTCATTTTATAGATGATGAAACTGAGGTTGAAATATTAAGTGATCTGCCCAGGGCCACACAGCTAGTAAGTGTCTGGGGCTGGAATTGAACTCAGGTCTTCCTGATTCCAGATCCAGCACGCTAGTCACTGTGCCACTAAGAGAGGGCTGGCCTTGGAATAAAATAGACCTGGGACCAAGTCTTGCCCCTGAAACATACTAGGTGTGTGATCATGGTTGAAACATATAAACTCTCCATGCCTCAGGCAATTCATTAATACAGTGAGTTTCAGATGAGTTGCTATCTGTTTTGGTGGAGGGAGGTTGTACACTTGGAGATCCCTAAACCAATAAAAGTGCAGACCCAGACAGACTAATATATAAATGACCAAGGAAAATTATGAAATGTACTTTTTAAGAGATTTTTAAAAGAAATTAAATATCTACTTTTTAGTTCAACTAGGTACAGTTTTGCTAAAGGTAGGAGGATAGATTGTATGATCGAAGTCCTGATGACTCTATGACATGTAGACAGGGCTGAATGACCTACATAGAGAAGGCTGACCAAATTCCTAAGTAGGGCAAGCCGTTTTTGTTTCCTTGAGATGTAACTGGCATGGCAGCAGAAGTACTGTCTTTGGAGTCCAAGGACTCCAAATTATTTCAATTTCTGACTCGACCACTTACTTCCTAGCTCTTTAACCTTTGTCATTTCACTTAACTCTTCCAGCCTCAGTTTCCTTGTCCCTAAAAGGGGCATGATAATACTTGTATTACCTTTCTCAGCAGGAAAGCAAAGTTCAATATAAATAAATGGACTCTTGTCCATTCCCTCTTCTTCATCCCTGAAATGGCAAAAAAAAAAGTGAAGGTTACACTAATTGCCCTCTGGAGTAGTTCAGAGGGCAATTGGGTATGGACTTAATCCTGGAAACTTGTCCTTTTCCCACTAATTTGCATGAAAAACCTGCAATGCAACATTCCAGTTCAACTGAGAGCCTGATTTGGCCATGCGTAACTCATATGGAGTTTCAAGAGGAGTGACTAGTCTGCATGTGAGGCCAAACCTGATCCACTGTTTCTATGACAGACCCTTCCATCATCATCATCATCTTCATCCTCCTCCTCTTCTTCTTCTTCTTCTTTCCCTTTTTACAATTCTTCTTCCCCTTCTTTATTTCTCAGGGCAAGTTTATCTGAATCCACTCTGGCACCACTGGCAAACTGGCTGGGGCTGACATTGAGAGCTGTAAGTTGCTGCTAGCTTTCAGTACTTGGGAGGCTTTTTCTGCGATCCTGAGTCTGTTGCAATGGCCTTTTAGGAAGGACATGGTTGCATCCAGAGAAGGGTAACCAGAATGATCAAGGGCCTTGAGTCCATTGCTCTATCAACCACCACCAAATGAAGCTTAGCTTAACAAGTCCAAGGTCTCCCACTGCATCTGGGATCATCTCTAATTGTCCTTACTTGTGTCTTGCCACCGGACTCAGATGACTCTGAAGGATAGAGTGAGGCTGACGGCTTTGCACAGCCCTGCTTCACTTAAATCCAATTCACTCTCAAGTCAAGATATCACATGGGTCCTCTTTGAGAACAAAAGACAAATAAGCTAAGTGCTAGGGACTCAAAGAAAGACAAAAATAGTCCTTTCCCTCAAGGAGATTACATCCTAATGAGAGGGACAACATTGAAATAACTAAGTCCATACATGTTATACACAAGAAGATGGAAGGTAATCCCAGAAGGGTTTGCTGTTCTGCAGTGAGGGCCCAGTTAAGATCAACGACATAATTTTGTAGTTGACCCAATCAGCTTAACAAGTATTTATCATCATGGCCTTATGATTTATAGCATGTCCATTCAAGGATACATGGAATAGAAGTGAAAGAAGTGGATGATGAGAGTAGTCCAGAGTTTGGCAAAGTAGAACAAGGAAGTAAGGGATTTGAGAGTAGATTGTGTCAAGTTGAATTAGTTGACTAAGGGGGTCCAGATGAGGAAGGGAGGAGAGTGTGGCTAGCGTAGGGATCATGATCTGGGGAAGGGCTGGAGGAAATATAGATCATAGTGAGGATAAAGAACAGAGCTGAGGATTATAAGACACAGGGGAAGTAGAAGGATGAAAAATTTTGATCAGATAAAGAAATGTCAGAGTTTATGAACATGGCAGTGGGACACTTTTGAGTGATGGTAAGATCAAGGGTTTGATCATTTCTGTGCGTAGCTAGATTAGAGTAGAGGAATAGGTCATGAGGACTGAGTAGATAGAGGAAGTTAGGTTATTTGAGGAAGCCTCAATATGTATGCTGAAGTCCTTTAGTATGAGAGCAGAAATTGGGGTAGGACGGAAGAGTATGAGCCAACCACTGAACACATTGAGGAAGGAGGGAGAACGTCTTAGGGGTTAATTGTTAGTAAAGGATGATGGCCACCGGGATCTGGATTGGATACATTTGTATAGCACGGACCTCAAAGGAGAAGTCGTTGAGTAACCGAGGTAGGGGAAGAGTCTGGAAGTGGCAATGGGGAATAAGGAGTATTTTGACTCCCTCATAGCAACCAGTGAGTAGAGGGAGAAGGGTGATAAAAGAAAGTAGAGCTTATACTTGAAGGGAAGTAGTGTCATCAGGAGGAAGTCAGGTCTCGGTGGATGACAAAAGATGGAAGGAATGAGAGAGGAAGAGGCTTAAGAGAAAAGAAAATTTGTTAATTATGGAGCAGGTGATCCAGAGGGAACAGTGGCAAGGGTGGGCAGATCTGGAGTGGGACATTAGGGAAAAGGGAAAGGTAGGGTTGGGATGGATGAGAGTGAGGGAACAGACTAATGGGGTTGAAGAAAAGTGTCTGTATGTTGGAAACTGGGGTTCACAATCACTGGGATAGGGAGATAACAAAGGAGTGAGAATGTGCTGTGAAGGAATGAGTCTAGGCAGAGCACTAATGGTTAAAGAAAGGTCCATTGGGAGAACCACGTGATCAGAATATACAAGGTCCTTCCTCCAGATCTAATCTCATGGCTAGTAGTGATATCCTGCCCTGGAAAGCCCCAGTGCCTGCTCCACAACAGGCAGGAGTGGGAAGAAGCTTGGAAGAGCACTGAGGAGCTATTGTTGCCAGACCTGCACTGTAGAAAGTCTTGTGGGAACCAGGGGTGGGGGTGGGGATGGAAGAAGGGCTTGTCCCAGAGCAGTGGAAAAAGAACTGGGGTGGGGCTGAGAGAGTAGAGAGGGGACATCCCACAAGTTCCGACTGCATAATGCATGGATTGCTCCCCCAAGTGCTCTCTTTTTTTTTTTCATGGTTAATATGAATAAGAACGAGTTGTGCATTGATTGGGATCCATACATTTTTTTCTTTTTTTAGATCTCTTAGAGAAATCTCGAGTCATTTCCCAGCAAGCTGCTGAGAGAAGCTATCATATCTTCTAGCAGATCCTCTCTAACAAGAAGCCTGAACTTCTTGGTAAAGAACAGTCTCTACGTCCTCCTTTCCTGAGAAATTGAAATGCTCTGGTTTATCCATTGCTTTCAAGATGAAAGGAGCCCTGACTCTGCCCTTACCATGCCATTAGCTGGGCTTGTTGATGCCTTCATAGTCTCTGATAATCTTTTCAAATTTAGCAGAAATAATGGGCTTAGGACTTGCGAGAAAGGAATCCACGCAGGACAGTGGAAGGGACAAAATGGTGCTGTGGGAAGCGTCAAACCTGGAGTAACAGGACCTGAGTTCAAAGCCCCACTCTACCATTTACTCCATTGTGAGCTTACCCAGATCACTTAACATTTCTTGCCCTCAGTTTCTTTATCTGCAAAATTACAAAGGTGGACTAGATAATCTCTTAGGTCCTTTCCAGCCCTAACTCAATAAACCCACTGGGCCACTCATTCATACCATATTATTGCCCCCTTTGCCCACTTGAGCCTTGGGTTTTTTATTTTTTTGGTGGTTTAGAGAAAGAGAAAAGAGTAGAAAAGAATTAGAAATAGGAACAGAGAAGCAGTAAAGATGATTTTGATCAGTTTGACTTTGCTCAGAAGAGAAAGGGGAGGTAGGAAGGAAAATAAAGGGGAGGGGTGGGATGACCCCCAGCTATTGGAGCCTTTTTCCTCTGGCTCTCTGTGCTGTCTCAAGTCTTAATTGGGTTATTGCACATTTGTAGTGTGGTCTGTTGTCAAGTGCCAGAGGAAATGTCTCCTGAAATTTCACAAGAGGTCTAATAGTAGCCAGCCACAATGGGGCACAGTGGTATTCATCTTCTCACCCACACGCCTGTTCTTTTGCTTCCATTGATACTGTTATCAGTCATCATGGAGTTCTCTTGTTTCTCCTTTTCTACAGAAAGTTTGCTCCTGGTGCCCAATCCCAAGGATTACCACTGGATACACCAGGGTGTCACTACTGTCGATAACATGGATGATGGGGAAGAGTTACAGATCACAGATGTGAGTGTGAAAGGGCAGCAATTTGCACAAAGTAATAATGGAAGCAGTAATAATGGGACAGGATAATGTTCTGGAGTCAGAAGACCTGGGAGTTCAAATCCTGGCTCTGCTATTTACTTCCTGTGTGGCTGGGGAAAAGCCTTTTAGCCTCAGTTTCCTCATTTGTAAAAAGGGGTGAAGGAAAGAAAACAAGTCCTATTTGCCAGGCACTTTACAAATATTATCTCATTGGATCCTCACAACAACCCTGTGAAAGTAGGTGCTGTTATTATTGTTCCCATTTTGCAGTTGAGGAAACTGAGGCAGACAGAGGTTAAGTGATTTGCCCAGGGTCACATAGTAAGTGTCTGCGGCTGGATTTTGGATGCAGGTCTTCCTGACTCCAGGGTGAGTGCTCGCTCTAGCACCTAGCTGACTCTAATGTGGATAATAACAGCATTGTTTTGAGATCAAATGACATATGTAAAGTGCTTTGTAGACGTTAAAGCACTATATAAATGCTAGCTATTATTAATAACAATAATTATATATTAATTACACATGAATTTAACAACAGTAACAATAGTCAGTTGAAGGAACTGGGGATGTTTAGCTTGGAAAAGAGAAACCTAAGAGAAAATAGGGTGGCCACCTTAAGGGAGGGAAGCCAGCACAATACAAAGAGTGTGGGCTCTAAGCTCAGAAGATTCTGTCCTCTTATGGATGGGGAGGAAGGGATGGTTTCTGCTGGCTGGCTGGGGTGTTCTCCCCCAGGACCAGGCATGCTGCAGGGGCCAGGCAAACAGCTAAATATCCTGGCAACAGTGAAACTGTGTTAGCTTAGGGAAAGTGCTCCTTACTCCAAAGCTACAGACAGTCTAGCTCATATGGGAGAGTAAACAGAGTCTTAATGAACTGGTGGGCAGGGTGTTAACTTAGGGCACATATTGTTCTCTCATAAGAAATTGATTTCCTCAGAAGATCTATCTATTTAAATAGACATTCGCTCAATAACCTGAGACTTGGGGAAATATTGATCGGGATTTTTCCTCCCCCAAAGTTTAAATTATCAAAGCCCCAGGGCATTCTGTAGTCAGGAAAATATAGATATTGTTATTTCACCAAGCTCAAAACTGGAAATAAATTCTGACCAACGCTGTTTTGGTCAAGATTTTTAAGGTAAATCTGGACAATTATCTATAATGAGCTTGAGATATGTCTTCTTCTATAGTTAGTAATTTCAACTAGGAAATATTACCTTTCATTTCAAAATTTAATTTTTTTGATATCTTTTTTCCCCCCATCCCCATCATTTCTAAATATCCTCTGCCCTACCCCCATCCCACCGAAAGCCATGCCTTGTTACAGAGAATAAAAAAGGAAGAGGGAAAAAAATTAGGTCAGCAAAATAAAACAACACATCGACTGAGTCTGGCAGTCTATGAAATGGGAAACATTACCTTTCAATGAATGTTGTGAAAGGGTCTGATTTGTGGGTCATTGTTTGAAGATGATAGACATTTCTCTGAGAATATGCAAAAGGACTATTCTTGACTTTAGGAAATTGTTGACCTGCTGGGAGATATAGATATAGATAGATGTGTGCGCATACACATATAGACACGTGTATGTATGGCATATGTGCATGTGAATATATATATTCCCATTATATATATATATATATTCCCATATATATATATATGTATATATATATAAATATATATAATATATGTATATATATATATATATATATATATGTATATATATATATATATATATGTATATATATATAATATATATATATATTTATATATATATATATATGTATATATATAAAAATATATATATATATATATAAATATATATATATATATATATATATATATATATATATGTATTATATATAAATATTATAATATATATATATATATATATATATTATATATGAATATATATATATATATGTATATGTAGGCAAATCCTCTCCTTCAGTGGTGTGAGATCAGGATTCAGTCTTTCATCACAAGCCCTTTCTTGAGTGTATCTCTTCTCTGTTAATTTCCAGGTTGCTTTTGACATCCTGGGCTTCCTTGCAGAGGAGAAGATTGGGGTTTACAAACTTACTGAGGGCATCATGCATTTTGGGAACATGAAATTCAAGCAGAAACCAAGAGAGGAACAGGCAGACATGGACACCACTGAGGGTAGGTTGTTTGGCCAAGAATACGGGTCAGGACCATCAAGAAGCAAATCAGTCAATGCAATGGGCAGCAGGTCCACGTTAATGTGATGACTGTCACCATGACTACCACTAAAACATTCAGTTAGTCAGTCAATGAGCATTTATTACGGGCTTACTAGGCACTGTGTTAAGTGTTGAGGATATGAAATAAAAAGGCAAAATCGTGGTCCCTGCTCTCAAGCAGCTCGTATTCTCATTAAAAAGGTGGCAAGTAAATAGCTATCTCCATATAAGATATGTACAGTATAAATGGAAGGTGGAGAAGCTGGGTGGTGCAGCGGCTAGAGTCCCAGGGCCTGGGGTCAGGAAGATTCATCTTTGTGAGTTCAAATTCAGTCTCAGACACTTACTAGCTGTGTGACCCTGGGAAAGTCACTTAACCCCGTTTGCTTCAATTTCCTCACCTATAAAATAAACTGGAGGAGGAAATGGCAAGCCACTCTAGTACCTTTGCCAAAAAACAAACAAACAAAAAACAAAAAATCCAAAAAAACCCCAAATGGGGACATGACTGAAATGATTGAACAACAGCAGATAGAAGATGATCTCAGATAGAAGGAACTAGCAGCTAGGGGGACTGGGGAAGGCCTCCTATAGAAGGTAGGATGTGGGCTGAGTTCTGAAGAAATCCAAGGAAGCCAAGAGGCAGAAGTGAGGATGGAGAACGTTAGAGGCATGGGGCCAGCCAGCGCAAATGGCTTTGGGAGGTGGATGTGGTGCGTGAGGAAATTGCAGGGCTGCAGCGGAAAGAGCTCCTCACCTAGGAAGGAGGCCAGAGACCTAGATTCAGGTCCTGGATCTGTTCCTAGCTAGTTTTGTGACCTTGGACATGTCACTTCCCCTCTGGCTTTCTGATTCCTTTTCTGAAAAAAGAAGGGCTTAGAATAAAATGATCTCTGAGATTCCATCACAAATATGATCTAATATTATCTTCACAATGACCTTGGGAGGTAGGTGCTATTATTAGCCCTTATTTAAGGATGAGGAAACTGAGGCAAGCACAGGTTTAAGTATTACACAACTAGTAAGTGTCTGAGGCTGGCTTTGAACTCAGGACTGCCTGACTCCACCTCATCCACTGGTTCACATAGCTGCCTAAGATAATAGTACCATATTATGTTGTTCTGCCTATGTGTAATCACCTAGTGATCCTTTTCTTTTTTTTTACCATCAACAGTGGCTGATAAAGTCACCCACCTCATGGGTCTCAACTCCGGTGAGCTGCAGAAGGGCATCACCAGGCCTCGAGTCAAAGTCGGCTATGAATTTGTACAGAAGGGCCAGAACATGGAACAACGTAACAACTCCATCGGAGCCCTGGGCAAAGCCGTCTATGACAGGATGTTCAAGTGGCTTGTGGCCAGGATTAACAAGACGTTGGACACCAAAATGCAGCTGCAGCTCTTCATCAGGGTGCTGGACATTGCTGGCTTTGAGATCTTTGAGGTTCTTTGAGCTCCTTTTCCCTCTGTTTCTCCTATTTTTGACCTGGGGCTGGGCCATGCTGGTTTTCAGCTTGGTCCATGACTCTTTTAGAACACAGCCCATTACAGCAGCAGTCCAAGCGGCCTGGGCCTGTCTCCTGCCCAGCAGAGTGAATGAATGAAACTGGCCTGGAGTCAGGAAGACCTGAGTTCAAATCCAGCCTCAGGCACTTACTAGCTGTGTGAGCCTGAACAAGTCATTTAACCACTGTCTGCCTCAGTTTCCCAAAGTGTAACATAATAATAGTACTTACCTCCCAGAATGGTTGGGAGGATCAAATGAGATAATATTGGTAAAGTACTTTGCAAACCGTAAAGTGCCAAGTAAATGGTGGCTATCATTGATACTAATGTGTGCACAACTTTGTGTATTTTTGGAAGCAGGACTTGCTGATACGGAAGCTGCGTCTCTATCTGTACCTTCACACTGCCTCTCTATGACTTCGATAATGCATTTAACAACTTCACATCTCAGGCAGCATGGAAGTCCCTATATGTGTCAATGTGTCCTTTATTATGTAGGAGAATCTACTTTTCACTATCTTTCTTCTTTCAATTTTCCCATTGCAGTTTAACAGCTTTGAGCAGCTCTGCATCAACTTCACCAATGAGAAGCTTCAGCAGTTTTTCAAACATCACATGTGTGTGCTGGAGCAGGAAAAGTATAAGAGGGAGGGCATTGAATGGGTCTTCATTGACTTTGGTCTAGACCTACAGGCCTGCATTGACCTTCTGGAAAAGGTAATACTGCTTTCAAGAAAGGAGATTAGAGAAAAGGGAGCCTGAGCTCATCAATGGACTACACATTTTAGAGCGTTAGAAGCCCAGGACCTCATCTTATTGTTCCATTCCTTCCCCTCCCCTTTTCTTTTTCCTCCCCCTTCCCTTCCCTTCCTTCCCTTCCCTTCCCTTCCTATCCTAGGAGGCAGAGGGAAAATGACAAAAATGGAACTCACATTTTATGGGGCATACAACACTATCAATGGAAAAGTATGTTACAAGATAAGTTGAGGAAAGAGAGAACATGAAAGAGGGGAGTCTGAAAAGCCTTATCCGCAGAGGTAGCACCTGACCTGAGCTTTGAAGAGAAGTTGTAGATCCTAAGAGGTGGAAATGAAGAGTGCATTCCATGGGGGGGGGGAAGGTTGGGGGAGGAGAATGACAGCCTATACAAAAGTACACCCATGGACAATGGATTACCAAATTCAAGGAAACAGCTGGTTGGTCAGTTTGGCTGTGAGAGCGGGTGAGGGAGAGCAATGAGAAATGTCTGAGTAGTAGGCAGGAGGCAGATTATGAAAGGCTTTCAATGCCAAGGTGAGGAGCTTGTGTTTTATCCAAGAGGCAAGACATGAAGAATGACATAGTCAGACCAGTGCTGTTGGCAGCTGTGACATATCGGAAAGAGAGACTTGAAATTTTGTTTTAGAAAAGCAATTATGATCAGCATTACTGTCATATCTTACATTTATTTTTTAAGTTAAATTTTAATTTATTTTCAAAGATCTACCTTCTCTCCCTTCAACTATCCTTCCCTCCCCATGAGAAAGCAAGAAAAAGAAAACCCCTGTTACCAAGATGTATAGTCAAACAAAACAGATTCTCTCACTGGCCTTGTCTCCCAAAATGTCCCTCAATCTGCACTCTGAGTCCATCAGCTTTCCATCAAGAGGTGGGCAGCATGTTTCATCATGAGTCCTCCAAAATTGTCTTTGGTCATTGTGTTGATCAGAGTTCCCTAGTCTTTCAAAAATCTTTACTATATTGTTGTCACTGTATAAATTGTTCTCCTGGTTCTGCTCACTTCATTCTGCATCTGTCCATACAAGTCTTTCCAGCTTTCTCTAAAACTATCCCCTTCATAATTTCACAATAGTATTCCATCACATACATATACCATAGCTTGCTCAGTCGTTCCCCAATGGATAACCATCCCCCTTGGTTTCCAGTTCTTTGCCACCACAAAAAGAGTCACTGTGTATATTTGTGTACATATGAGTCTTTTCCCTCTTTCTTTGATTTCTGGGATAAAGTCCTAGTATTGTACCTTACATTTATATAATTCTTTACAATCCATTTTCAGTGAGTTCCACACATTCTATCTTATGTGTTCCTCACTACAGTGTAGTATAATTAAAAGATCCAGAGTCAGAGAATCTAGTTGCAAATCCTAGCTTGGCTCCTGGGGGCAAATCATTTATATTCTCTGTCTCTGAAGTTTATTTAGTAAAATGAGATACTGCCCTAGGTGGTCTCTAAGATCCCTTCCAGCTTCAAATCTATTCACATTTTACAAGTTATATGATTTACCCAAGGCCATTTCACTAGCAAGCCAGAAAATCATATATCTTCAGAGCTAGAACGTACTAAAAACCTATGTGTCACCAACACATAGCTTTAGAACAAGAAGGGACAATAGAGATGATCTAATGCAACTCTCTCATTTTACAGATGAGGAAACTGAGGCCTAGAAGGCTTGTGACTTGTCCAAGGTTACTCAGGTAGTAAGTCACATGTTCTCTAGGCCCCAGGTTCCTCATCCATAAAATGAAAAGATCGGACTAGAGACTATCTCTCTTATTTCTTTCAACTGTAAATCTATATTCTTATGATGTGAGATCTCCCTGGGACTCAGTTTGTTTATCTGTAAAATAAGGGAATCTTAGTAGATGGCTAGGATATTTTATAACTTAACTAAGTGGCCTGTTACTGTGACCCTACATGATGTCACTTGAGGAACACAAGGAAGATTCCCACATCCCCCCCCACCCCCAAATCTCCATCTGGAACAAGAGAGTGACAGAATCAGCTTTAGGAAAATCATTTTGGAGTCTTTATGAAAGATGGATGGGAGAAGGGAGAAAGGCTGGAGGCAAGGACCAAGTAGGAGGCTATTATAATAGTCCAGGGAAGAAGCTTGAACTACAGTAGCTGCCACGGGAATGGAAAGAAGGGGGGTAGAAAAGAGAGATGTGGGTGAAGAATTGACAAGGCTGGAGATTGATTGGATGGGGATGAGTGAGAGTGTAGAGCTGAGCTTCTAAGCTGCAAATCAGTTACTGGAAAGATGGTGATTCCTTCTACAGAAATGGGGAAGTTAAGAGGCTGCATGGGTTTAGAATAATACTTTCAATTGTTAACTTCCTTAATACCTTGGCAAGAATGGCTTTTTTTCTGTGATAAGAGGTCCCTTGGACTACGTGAAAACATGGAGTGCCTGGGGAAAGGAGTGGGGGTGGGAGAAGAATGGGGAAGGGTACAGGAAGGAGAAGCAGAGGTAATACAGACAAACTTCCTCTATTTCACAATTTTGCTGAAGGCTGATTTTGTTCCAAGATCTATTCTGGATCCTGGGTAAGAAGAGCCAAACCAGCTTCTAGGAGCTTGGGGAAGAACTGATCAATTTCTTCAAGCACTGACTAAAGTGTTTAGCACGATGTTGGGCAATGTTTGGACAAAGCTACCTACAGTCATACACTCAACCCCCTCGAGGAAAAGCACTCTCTCTGGATCTCTGAATCCACCTCTTTTGTTTTTAAATTTTTGCAATTAATAAGCATTCCTTTGCTCTCCTCCTCTTTCCTCCCACCCTCTCAAATGCATAACACTTTTAACAAATAAAAACAAAAACCAAAAAAAAGTCAAGCAAAACAAAATGTCTACATTGGCCATGTCCAAAAATGTATTCCTCATTCTGCACCCTGAATCCATCAAATTCTGTCATGAGGTGGGGTAGCATGTGTCATCATGGGTCCCCTGAAATCCTGGTTTCCTACTGCATTGATCAGAGTTTATTTAGCTGACATCACTTATTTAATTCTGTTGCCTCTTTCTCTCCCCTTCACCTCCCCTAGCCCATGGGTATCTTCTCCATCCTGGAAGAGCAGTGTGTCTCCCCTAAAGCCACAGATGCTAATTTCAAGGTAGCCTTGTATGACAATCACTTGGGAAAATCCAATAATTTCCTCAAGCCAAAGGGAGGCAAAGGCAAAGGCCCCGAAGCCCACTTTGAGCTGGTCCATTACGCTGGCACGGTGAGTACTGGCACCAGCTGTCCATCAACAGCCATCTGCTTTGTTGAGTTCCAGACCCAGGAACTGCTTCCAGATGAGTTATTCCAGACCCAACCAAACACCCCAGCATATTGCAGATTCACGCTGGAATGCACTTCCAAGTACTACATGCCACAGATAGAGGAGGTGGTGAGGAAGGGGTGAATACACCATTATGAGGCTTCTGGATTTAGTGGTAAAGCATACCAACACTTCAGAAAAGTGTGACCTGCCAAGCAAAGGGAGGCATGCCTCCTGCTCACTCACCCTGCCCACTCCCTCCTCCTCCTTGAAAATTCCAAAGCATTGAAGCAAAGGACTGAATGTTTAAAAGCCACCTCTGGCCCTCCTGTTGAACCTGCCATTCTTTCCCTCCTTGGTTTATACTCCTGTTAGCCTTCAGTTTGACATCTCAGACTTGGAGAGTGGGCCAGAAATGAATACATTGGCAAAGAAGTCATGAATCCATTAGTAATTCCCAAATTGGAAAGGGGGTGGGAGGTGCTCCAACAGATTGTGACCAGCAAATCAAGATGACTTATCTACATAACCAGGACAGCTCAGATAGAAAATGTAGTTGGGAGGCTGGAGAGGGGAAGAGAGACAAGAGTGGGGGCGGATCATCGCTGCCAGGATTCTGGCTCCCCATTCATTTCTGGCACACACAGTCTCCAAGTATAATTAACAGGGGAAGGGAGCCTTTGTTCAGCAAGCTTAAAGAAAAAACATCCTCCCCTCCCCCCATGGTGACTTAAAGGTTGCTGTAAGAGCTAGCCACCCGTTGTTTGCCAAGTTCATGGAGACCTCTGGGAATGAAACAGCAGGGAAAGAGGAGCTTCTGGACAATGGTGTCAAGAGGCTGTACTTAAAGGCTGAGTAGCAGGAGCAGCAAGCACAGGATTTTTATGATATTCTCAAGCTCAGCTCTGCCACTGAGCAGCTTGCCCAGCTACCCTGAGCAAACAACAGGATGAGGACAGAAATTGCAGTGCTTCCCCTCTCCTGAAATTAAAATAGCATTTTATTTATAGTTATTGAATACCCCAAACCTAAGGAGATCAACTACATTTCCAAGAATTGAGCCCTAAAATTCAGGCACTGATATAAGAAAGGAACCAGTTTTTTTCTTGTTTTTCATTTTTTCCTAATATTGGAAATGAAAGAACAAAAACGTTTTTTTGGCTCCCTGTCTCTTTCCCTGAGCTGTGCTCAGGCTGAAGGACCCAGAACATTTTCTTTCTCCTTGTTTCCTGCAGCTAGATCTACACTGGTGAATTTAGTTAACTGGATCACTGTAGGCAGCCAATATAGATGATTCAGCTTTCTCCCCACTCGACACCTTCCCTGCCCCCACCCGACCCCTACCCCTGCAATTCCACCTTGATTTAGTGGGTCAGGACTGATCTCTGTCCCTGCTAGCAGGGAGGGGAGAAAGTTGACATTGCTGTATTTTGGTTGTCTCCAGGTGGGGTATAACATCACAGGCTGGTTGGAGAAGAACAAGGACGCCTTGAATGAAACTGGTGGGCTTGTTCCAGAAATCCAGCATGGTGCTACTTAATACGCTCTTTAAAGAAGAGGAGGCTGCAGGTATGGCTGATAACATCCATTGCATTGTCTCTCCAGCTGATAGGAGTTTGAAGGTGAAAATGAATTTCCCCTCTCTTTACTAGTCAGTCAACAAACATTTCTTAAGTGCTTACTAGTTGTCAGACACTGTGCCAAGTGCTGAGGACATAAAGGAAGGAAATAATATAATTCTGGCCCTCAGGAAGTTCACATTCTAATGGGAGAAATAACATGCAAACAGTTGTACATGCAAGATCTCTCTCTCTTTCTCTCTGTTTCTGCCTCTTTCCCTCTCTCACTGTCTGTCTCTGAAACTGTCTCTCTCCCTCTGTTTCTCTCTGTGTCTCTAGTAAAAAGGTAGTCTAAGAGGGAAGACACTAGCAACTGGGGGAATGTATTTCACTTTTTCCTCAATTTAAAATCCTCAGAGATTCAACTTCATTGAACAAATCTCTCCCCAGTGCTAATAATAATAATTATAATAATAGTCAGCATTTGCAGAGTACCTTAGATAATGTTATCTCAATTGATCCTCACAACAACCTTACATAGTAGGTGCTATTATCCCCATTTTATAGATGAGGAACTGGCTGAGAGAGGCTAAGTGACATGCCCAGGGTTACACAGCTAATAGTCATCTGAGGTAGAATTTGGACTCAGATCTTCTTACTCCTAAGTCTAGTGCTCTACCCACTACATCAGCTAGTTGTTTTAGTACCATGACACAAAGGAAAGAAAAATGCAACACAATTTCTGACCTTAAGAAACTTGAGGTTAGTTGAAAAGAGAGCCTATACATATGAAACATGGAATGGGACATGGATATATTATATGAGAGTAAAATGGGCTGCCTTGGGAGGGACTGAGTTCCCCATCACTGGAAGTATTTGTGTAAAGGATAGATGACCATTTTGTTGGGAAGTAGAGGAGGTTCTTGTTTGGGTATGGGTTCCAGCCCAGAAATTAGAAGACTTTAAGTGCAAATTGTATAGTACTAATCCAAAGTGTTAAAACAGGAGTTCAGAGGACAGATGGCATCCCCAGGCACTCCACTGATAGATGAGGTAGGATTTGAGTAGGCTTTGAAGGATGATCTTAGGACAGGGTGATCCAGCTGCCTCTACCATAGATAAGTCTAGGGGTCTAGGGTCCCTTCCTTTCCACCTTTACTTAGGGGTGAAACTGTATCAGAAAGGCAATGGCTTTGTAGTATCCTTAAGCAAAACTTTAGCAAAACCCTGTATTACTTCTCTGGATAATTTTCTCTTATTTAGGGATCACATTTCTATGGAAGATTATGGTGACGAGAAAATTTATGGATATTAACCAATGTGATTCTCTCAGGAACTGGTAGCACGAGTATTTATTATCCCCATTTCACAGATGAGGGAAGGAAGGTAGAGACCTGAACTTACCCAAGGTCACACAGCCAGGAAGTGGCAGAACCAGGATTCAAATCCAGGTCCAATGTGCCCTTGCCACCACACCAGAGCCTCCTCTGGAATATAGGTCGAGGGACAGTTACCTCTCCCCCTTTAGATACAGCTAGTAGGTAGCTGGAGCCCACTTAGCTAATGGCCACTTAGCAAATGAGAAATTCATCGAGGGCTAGGATACGGAATCTCCTCCCAAAGAAAGCAAGTAGCCTTGGCTTCTGAGTCTGAGACAGCTGTGAGGGTTTTCGTCTCCTAAATGTATTACTCTACAGATGGATTGTTGCCTTAACAATTGAGACTGTCTGAGTCAGGGGTGGGGAACCTGCAGCCTTGAGGCCACACTTGGCCTTCTAGGTCATTGGGTGAATTGACTGAGTCCAAGTTTTGCAGAACAAATCCTTTTATTATTCATATGTCTGTTAAGTTTGGATTCAGTTAAAGGGCTGCACTTGAGGACCTAGAGGGCCACATGTAGCCTGGAGGCTGAAGGTTCCCCATCACTGGCCTGAGTACTTCACAGGTGAATGGAACAGCTTTCCACTTAAAGGGAGAACTCCTAAATCACAAATCAACTACACACACAGACTCGATATTACAAATCGTTCACTCTGGAAGTGAAGGATATGACAACCCATTTCTCTCTCCTGCTTAGGGCCAAATGCCAGGGTCATTTGGGGACGCTTTGTCTTGTCTACTTTTGGGAAGGCCAGCATCACTAGAGCCTAAATGAAGGAGCAAGGCTTTTTAAAACCACCACTGTTTGCACAGAACTCTTAATGCAGTGTTCCCTGGACCTGCAGGATACCAAGAAAGGCAAAAGCACGGCCTCTCCCCTTGAGGAACTTGTAGTCTAGTAAGGGAGAGAGAAAGTTTCCTAAAGGGAACAGGGGCTCTGTGAGAAAATGGCGATGCTAGCTAGTGCATCTTTTCCTTTCAAATAGCAAATATGAAAGTCTGCATGTTTCAAAAAAAATACTTGGAAGCAGCTGGCCTCAGAATCAGGAAGAATCTAGTCTTACCTTGGACATATACTAGCTGTGTGACCAGGGGCAAGTCATTTAACCTCTCAACACCTCAGGAAACTCTAAGTCTCAAAATTATGGAGTAGGTGTTGAACTATATTGATGTCAGTCAACCAGTCAGTCTGTCAGCAAGTTTTGATTAACTTCTTACACCTTGCTGAACACTGTGCTAAAACATGGTCTTTGCCCTCAAGAAAGTCATGTTCTAGTAGGGAATGGAGAAAGTTCCCCTCCACCAATGAAATCACAGCTCTCTTTATATATATATATATATATAGATAGATAGATAGATAGATAGATAAATAGATAGATAGATAGATAGATAGATGTAGATATATATATATATATCTATATATATATAGATATATATATACACACACACACACATACACACACACACACATATATTATATATGTGTGTATGTATGTATGTATGATGTGTGTGTATATATACATCAGCTTTTTTATGAAGGCAAAGAATTAGAAACTAAGGGGATGCTCAACAGTTAGGGAATGGCTGAATAAGTTATGGTTTCTGAATATAATTGAATACTATTGTGCTCTCAGAAATGATGCAGGGGATGGTTTCAGAAAAACCTAGAAAAATTTATATGAACTGATGTAAAGTGAAGTGAGCAGAACTAAGAGAACATTGTGGACAGTAACAGCATATTTTAACAATAATCAACTGTGAAAGACTTAGTAACTCTGATCAACAAAAATATCTACCAGAACTCCAAAGAACTAATGATGAAAAATGCTGTCCCCTTCCAGATAGAGAACTAATGGACTCAGGGTACAGATTGAAGCATAATTTTATTCTCTTTCTTTCTTTTTCATATTCACTGCCTCCAACAGGTCAATGCAGAAATTTATTTTGCATGACTTCATATTTGTAATGGAGCTCGTTATTTCTTGCCTTCTCAATGTGTGGTGGAGAGGATGTGGGGAAAAGGAGAATATGGAACTAAAAATAAAATTGAACTAAATGAAAAAAATTTAAAAAAGAAAAAAACAATTTATTTATAACAATCATTCAGTATGAAAATAGGCTTACTCTTCCCTCTCTTCCTCCAAAATAATTCATCTCTCCCTTTGTCTGGGAGGATTCCATACCTTCAGGCTTCCCTCTACCCAGTTTCTGACAGATGTTGATGGGTTTCATCAAGATTTTTCAAGCCCCAAAATGATTTGTGACTAAATGTTGCTGTTCAGGCATTTTCAGCTGTGTCTGATTCTTTGTGACTCCTCTTGGAGTTTTCTTGGTAAAGATACTTAAGCGGTTTGCCATTTCCTTCTCCAGCTCATCTTACAGATGAGGAAACTGAGACAAACAGGATTTAAGTGAGTTGGCCAGGATCACACAGCTAGTAAGTATCTGAGGCCAGATTTGAACCCGGGTCTTCCCGACTCCAGGCCTGGCATTCTATCCACTTCACTCCCTAGCTGTCTATTGTAGCCAAATGTAGAAGTGGTTATATACTTGTGCTGGGCATGGTAATTTACAGAATGTTAATTTCTCTTTTTTAGCTGGAGCTAAGAAGCAAAAAAGAGGGTCGTCCTTCGTGACTGTCTCCAACTTCTACAGGGTAAGACCCTCCCCCAAGCCCTCTGCCCCAACCCTAATGCATTCACTTCTATGCTTCTGAGTGTCCCCAACCAGCTTCCCTTGTCGGAAGTGGCTGTTTTGGCACACAGCAGCTGTGCCAGCAGACTCTGAGGGATGAAGTATTTCATTTGCCTAGTCTGTTAGTGTTAGTTAGAGGAGTTGTGTTCAGTGGAATGAACACTGGATTTAGAATCAGAGAACCTGGGGTCATGCTGCCTGTGTGTGACCTTGGACAAAAGACTTAACCTTGCTGAGACTAAGCTCCCTTATCGCCAAAAGGATGCTCCCTAACATCACTTCAATTTGTTTTGGTTCAGACCTGTGAATCCATTGGTATAGGGAACTCCCTCCCAGTAAGGGAATTCCTCCTGCCCATGTAGACCAGCAACTGTTCCCCGAGTTCTAATCTGAAAGTTGCCTGGGGGTACTGGCAAGGTAAATTACTTCTTTAAGATCACATAGTCAGTATGTTTCAGAGGCATGACTCAGACTCAGGCTTTCCTGATTATAAGGCTAGTTCTCTATCCACTGTACCCCACAGCCCCTCATTTTAGCTCCAAACTCAGTAATTCTAATTTTAAACATTAGTTTTATCAGGCTTTTGTGTTTATGTCATATTCACTTTGAAATCTATTCCTCCCTCCTTTCTCACTTTGAAAGCCATCCTTCGTAACAAATATTAACACAGGGGAAAGAAAGCCATTCAGTTAAACCATCCAATGCATGGACCACGTCTGACAGTATCTACAATATTCCACCCTGATAATTCCCTCCTCATCCCTTACCTCCCTGCCTCTATAGTGAAGGGAGGGAAATGCATTTTCTCTTTTCTTCTCCAGGGTCAAGCTTGGTCATTATGGTTACACAACATTAAGTTCCATTTTATTGTTTGTTTAATTTATATTGTAGTCCTTGTGTGTAGGCAGGTAGTTGGTGCAGTAGATAAAGTGCTGGCCTGGAGTCAGGAAAACTCATCTTTGTGAGTTCAAATCTGGCCTCAGACACTTACTACCTGTCTGACCTTGGGCAAGTCAGTTTGTTTTCCTCAGTTTCCTTGTTTTCCTCAGTTTCATCTTCTGTAAAATGATCTGGAGAAGGAAATGTCAAACCACTCCATATCTTTGCCAAGAAAACCCCAGATGGAGGTCCAAAGAGTCAGATAAGGCTGACAACAACAAAAGTCCTTGTGTATATTGTTTTCTGGTACTTCTTACCTTATTCTGCATCGATTCATGTAAGTCTTCTTAGGCTTCTGTTTCAACATTTGTGTAGACATTCATCAATTGATAGTTGTTGTTTTTTACTACCACAGGAAGTGTGTTACAACCTTTTTTTCTGTCTTTGACCTCCTTGTGGTAATACCCAGCCCACTGGGTCCAAGAGGATGGACAGTTTAGTCACTCTTAGTAGAATTCTAAATTACTTTACAGACATATTGGATCAGTTCACAGCTCCATCAACGATAAATTAACGTGACTGTGTCCCCGTAGTCCCTCCAACATGGACTACTTCTACTTTTGTCAGCTTTGACAACTTGCTAGGTATAAAATGGAACAAGAGAATGCGGTAGACAGAGTGCTGGGCTTGGAGTTGGGAAGGCTTGAGTTCAAATTCAAACTGAGTGGCTCCTCTCCAGAGCAGTGTCTAATCTCTTCACATATTTTTCTACCACCAGACTTACACAACTTACGGAGGTGATATGGTTAGCACTTCTGTTCCTATCAACACCACAGTAAGGCAGGAGTTATCACTGAATTTTTTAGGCGAGAAAATTGAAGCCCAGCAACAAATGTGCCTTATACATAGTAGGAACTTAAGAAAGGTGTTTGGGTTTTTTTAAGTAGATGCCTACTAAATAAGTGAGGGGTGCAGCTAAGTGGCACAGTGTATCCAGGCCCGGAGTCAGGAAGACCTGAGTTCAAATGTGGCTTCAGACACTAGCTGTGTGACCCTGGGCAAGTTGCTTAATCCTGTTTGCCTTAGTTTCCTCATCTGTAAAATGAGCTGGAAAAGGAAATGGCAAAGTCACTCCAGTATCTTTGCCAAAGAAACCCCAAAAGGGGCCAGAGTCTGGCACAGCTGAAAACAACTAAATAACAACACTAAGCAGAGAATAGTTCAATGATTTCTGGGACTTGAATACAATGGAATATTGTGCTGTAAGAAATGACGAATATAAAGAATACCAAGAAGCATCAGAAGACTTATATGAACTGATGCAAAGTGAAGTTAGCAGAACCAGGAAATCAATATACACAATATTGACAACAATGTCAATGGAAAGAATAAAAATATCAATTAAAAAATCAAAACTTAACGTTGTATAATTATAATGACCAAGCTTGGTCTCTGAGAATATACTGCCCTTTTTGCAGAGGTCAGAGAGTGTGGAGCACTGTATACAGTGTCAGACTTTGTGGATATAATGGTTAGTTTTACTGACCTATTTTCTTTCTTTTTCATTTTTTGTCGTAGGGGATAGCTTTTTGGGTGGGGAAGAGTAGAGGAATATATTGCTGTATGAAAGTGATGTGAAAACAAAGGATAACAATAAAAAAAAATTAAAGAGGCAAAAATAACCCCCCCCCCGAAATGGTTTTGAATTAGAAAAAGGAAAGGCTAAGGCAAAGTCACCATAGAGCCATATGGACTAAAAGGGCAGATGGATTTTTCCTTCTTTCTAATAATAATGTTTTACCAATATAAAGCAATGTGTTGCTGTTTACAAAGTGTTTTCCTCCCCAGTGACCCAGTGAAGTAGGTAGTACAATGAGGATCACAGATTTAGAACTCGAAGGCATTGAGTCCTAGGAAGTTTCCTGCTTGGTCCATGGTCACACAGGAATCCAGGTGTTCTAGCTATCTTAACTACTAAAGCAAATTTATTCACAGCATTCAAAAGTTCTCCATTTTCTTGATTTTGGAATCAATTGTGAGACACAGGAGACACTGGCACAGGCACCCAGCAGAGCGTGCCTGCATCAAAGAAGGTGCTGTGCTCTATGAGCAAAGTGGAATTGCAGTAGCTCAAAAGAAATGTGAGATGCACATATTTAGAGACATTTCCACTCCAACTGTTGATGTGGACTATCTGTGCCCAACTTACGGCAGAGCCTTCTGAGCTTATATTGACCTGATCAGCCACAATCAGACACACTGTACCTTGACCCAACACAATGATGTGATTTTAGTCTTCTTTGAAAATGAAGGACAACAATCAAACAGTGAGGTAATGATGTAGTACAGTGGCCAGCGTACTGGTCCCCTCCAGTCTGGAAGACATGAGTTCAAATTCTCTCTCAGGCACTTATTACCTGAGTAACTCTGGGTAAGTCACTTAACCTCAGTTTCCTCCTCTGTAAAATGGGGATAATAACAGCACCTATCTCCCAGGGGCATTGTGGAGACTGAATGAGATAACGTAGGTAAACTGTTTTGCAAGCCTTTAAACACTACAAATGCTAGCTGTCATTGTTCAGCTCAGATTACTATGTGCCAGGCAAATACGACTTCATCTGATCCTTCCAACAATCTTGAGAGGTAGGTGTTATTATTATTACTCCTATTTTCCTTTTTTTAAATTTTTTTTCTTTTTTCTTTTTTTCCTATTTTCCAAATGAGGAAACTGAGGCAAGCAGAAGCTAAGTGACTTGCCCAGGGTCACACAGCTAGATGCATCTGAGGCTGGATTTGAACTAAAGAAGACGAGTCTTCCTGACTCTAGCCCCAGAGCTCTACCCATTTGTCACCTAACTGCTCCTCTTCAGCTGGTTGGGTCAAGTTTAGGGTCAAGAAGAGGAGTAGATTCAGATCCATTCCTTTACAACCAAGTGGGGGATTTCGTTGGAAGCTGTCTGATGTTCTTCCTATCTACCTGTTAGCAGGGAAGGACTGCTGAACTTTTGAGTCAGAAAACCTGGGTTCAGACCTAGCTCCAACATTTATTAGCTATGTGACCCTGAGCAATTTCCTTAATGTAAAAGCAGAGATTCTAATCAAGAAGGCAAAGGACTCGGGTTCAAATCCTGTGTGACTCTGGGCCAATCCTTCTCTGGAAAATGAGAGCGTTGGATAAAATGGCCCCGAAGCCCCTTTCAGTTCTAAATCTGAGATCCTCATTGAACTATGGACTTTACAGGATCATTGGAAGAAGAAAGTACTTTCTTTTAAAAAAAAAAGTTTAATTTTTATTTTCTGTTCCTAATTTTTTTCCCTCCCTCCAACCCTTAACCATCCATTGAGAAAGCAAGACATACAATATCCATTAGTAAAGCACTTTATAAATAGCAAACCACTTCTTTACATCGATGAATGAGGGCTGCTGTTATTTCCTCACTGACTTCATTTCTCCTCTACCCCCAGGAGCAGCTGAGCAATCTGATGACCACACTGCACAGCACTGCCCCTCATTTTGTCCGATGCATTGTCCCTAATGAGTTCAAACAGTCGGGTGAGTGCCTGAGGGTGGGGAGCTCTCAGAGTATGAGAGGTGCCTGTACTCACCAGCTTGTTTCCAAAACCAGCGGTTTGCCCAATATAGTCTACTTTCAATTAGCCCAGCAAGTGGAGGAGGCACTGAGGATGCCAAACAATGAATAATCTAAAATTAATTCTGTATCTGGCTTTGTAATGCTGTGAGACACCTACTTAGTCAGAGACCACACAGGCAAGCACATACACCCAGTCAGACATTATAATCTGCCTCCGTCTCTACCACCAAGACCTTTGGGGCTCAGCCCTGTTGAGAATGACTTGGAATCCAGCTAAGCAGTGAGGGTAGGGAGACCCCCTTTCCATCTCCTGAAGGTGTCACAATCATCAAGAATGGATGGACCGTGCCAACTTTCAAGCTGTGTCTCCCCAGGTGGGGAGGCGTCCATCTGTCCCTTCTCCTAGGGGAGGGCTCACTGTCTCATGCCTTTGGCTTTGTTTTGGCAGGGGTGGTAGATGCTCACTTGATCATGCACCAGCTGGCTTGTAATGATGTCCTGGAAGGCATCCGTATTTGCAGGAAGGGTTTCCCTAACCGATTAGAGTACCCCGAGTTCGAACAGAGGTGAGCATCATCTTCCTTATTCCCAACATCAACCTCTTGTGTTCCTCCACCAAAATCTCGCAGGTTGATGCATTGGGTGAAATATTTTGTCAGAAATATTTTCTTTTATTTCCTTTCCTCCCTCCTTGCCCCCAACAATCTCAGAGGAGAGTAGCTCTTGTGGTCATTTACTCTCGCTTGAAGAAACTCCTGCTTGAAAGGCATGATTCTCCCAATTAACCTTAAAGGCAACCTGTCCCACTGACAGATGAGTGAGGAAGCTCTCTAAACATGGAAAACCTCTGTCTTGAGTCCTGCAGAGACTCCTGTTTGAATAAAGTGTACCTCTCACTCTATCACCTTCCTTTCTGTTTAGATACCAAGTCTTGAACCCCAATGTGATCCCTCAGGGATTCGTGGACAATAAGAAGGCCTCAGAACTGTTGCTTGGCTCTATTGACATAGATATAAATGAATATAAAATTGGACACACCAAGGTAGGTTTTTCTGGATCCTCTACTCCTTTCATATAGTCAATGTTCAGTAACATTACTTGTGGTGTAATGGAAAGCATAATGCATTTGGAGTCTAGAGGACCTGGGTTCAAATCTCACCTCTGACACTTCGTGCTATGTGATAGGCAGTATGAGCCTCAGTTTCCTCATCAGTAAAATGTGAAACACTCATAGATGTATAGTCAGAGACCACACAGACAAGCACATACACACAGTTTAACATTCATGATCAACCTCCATGTCTACCACCAAGGCCCTCAGAACTCAGCCTTGTTGATATTTACTTGGAACCCAGTTGGACAGTGAAGGTAGGGAGACCTCCCCTGCCCGCAAGGGTGAGGGAAGTAGACTAGATGACCTCAGAGGTCACCTCCAGCTCTATAAACCTAAATGGTCACTATCTTAGTATTATTCCAAAAGATCTGAGAATTAATGAAGGAAAAAAAATTATTAAGCACTTATTCTGTGCCAAGCATAGAAGTGCCAGAGATACAAATAGAAAGTTAGTCCCTATTTCAAGGAGTTCATCCCCTAATTGGAGAAGATGATACCTATAGGAGAGTTCAGCTGCAAGGCAGATGGAAAGGTCCAAAGTCCTAAAGATGTGATAGAGGGGCAGAGAGCAAGGCCCAGTTGTTGCCTTATAAGAAAAAGCTCCTCTATATAGATGATAAGAATGCTTCATGAAGGGAACTGAGTTTGGCCTAGGGCAGTGGCATTAACATGTGTGGGAGAGGGGAGATCAAGCCCATCATTCCAAACCACCCACAGCCCAAAGCCCCCAAGCACTTGCCAACATCCCTGATTCATTCTTGACTCAGAGGGAAGGTCACCTCCTGACCCTGACTCATGAGTCACTGGGGTTGTTCTCAGTTTCTGTGCCAGCTCCTGGCCCGGCCAAGCTTTGTTAGGCTTCTTCTACAGGCTGGATAGGGAGATGGGATGAGCATTCTCTTAAAAGAAACTATGACGTGATGGAGCTGTTCATTTTTCCTTGTCTTCATGATCAACACCAATCATCAGTGTGGTTTGAAGGAATGAGGCTGGGCATGTGTGTGTGTCAGCTGTTTACATAATCTCAGAGTTGAAACATCTCAGAAGGCATCTATTCCAACCCATGCCCTGATGTGAATCCCCTGTACAGTAACTCCTATGAGTGGCAATAGGGATGAGGCATTCAGTCAGCCTCCATGTATATGTATATGTACATTTTCATGTATGTATGCATGCATATATATATGTATGTGCATGTATATATGTACGTATACGTGTATGTATGTGTATATATGTATACAGGTATAAGTATATAGGTATATATGTATATATGTATGTGTATAGGTACATGTGTATGCATGTATGTGTATATATGCATGTGTATGTGTATATAGGTATATGGGTATATGTATGAGTATAGAATTGTGTATGTGTATACATGTAAATGTATACACATGCATGTGTGTGCTTAATATGTGTGTATATGTATATGTGTCCATGTATATGTGTGTATAAGTTTATTCCCAGAGGTGAGGCCCATATCACTTGTAATGTACTAATAAAACTGCTCTCACTTTTTATAAATACACTGCACCCGATTTCTTATAATCAAAGTGTATGGCATATGGTAACCCTGAGTTCAACTGGAAGTCAGAGACAGAAGCTTGGAGCCTGCTGAGAATTAATCTTCCAGTTCCTAAGAACCACAGATATAATACCACGGGAAAACTAGGGACTATGTAAATATATGTATTTTTAAAGGTGAGTATTCCCCACCTCTGTTATGTGCTCATTTGAGACATTTCACCAGCCTAACTAGCCTCATCTATCACAGGTATTCTCATTAATGTTGTACGTGTTATTTATATAACATGATAAGCCTTTTTTTAACTTTTATTTGTATTGGTCTTTTCTTTTTATATTGCATCCATTTTCAAATATGTCTCTTTTTTCTCCTCGGCCTCCCCTTCCCTCCCCCACCCCCAGCCACACATACATCCTGGATGTGGGACTCTGGGAAAATCAATCAACTTTTCATTTCTCTAGGTCAATGGTGTCAAACTCAAATAGAAATGGGGGTCACCAAACTGTAGATAAAGATCCCTGAGAGCAGCATATTGACTTATAAAACCACATATCAACATTGTCTATGTTTTATTGTATTTTGGTTTATTTTGTTAAATATTTCCCAATTACATTTTAATCTGGTTTGGGCCACACTTGGGAATGTGTTATAGGCAGAGGGTGGTATTTTTGATAACTGTGCTCAACTCTCTAAGACAGGAGTTCTTAACCTTTTGTGTCCTGGACATTTTGGCAGTCCAGTAAAGCCCATGGACCCTTTCTCAGAATAATATTTTTTAAATGCATGAAGTAAAATACTTACAAAAGAAGCCAATTATATTGAATTAAAGTTATCAAAAAACAAAAGATAGCTAGGTGGCTTGGTGAATAGAGTGCCAGGTCTGGAGTTATCTTCCTGAGTTCCAATATGGTCTTAGATACTTACTAACTGAGTGACTCTGGGCAAGTTTCTTAACCTTGTTTGCCTTGGTTTCCTCATCTGTAAAAAATGAGCTGGAAAAGGAAACAGCAAACCATTCCGTTATCTTTGCCAAGAAAACCCCACTTGGGTCACAAACTCAGACATGACTGAAAAATGTACAAGCAAGTACATGGATTCCAGGGTAAGAACCCCTGCAAACCCCTGAAAAGTAGGTGCCTACTTGCATTGGTAGAAGGGGTTTCCTTACTTGAAAATTCCCTAAAGCAGTGAAATCATTGGTCCAATCCCTGCTCCCTTTTCTTTATCTACTCAGAGAGCAATCTCTTATAACAGAGATTGAAAAGGAAAAAGAAAGCAGTTCTGCAAAACTAAACAACGTGTCATTAATACCTGACAGTATTCCAAATCAAGGTTTGTCAGATGCTTTACAATTCACCATCCTGTTGGTGTCCTGCAGCAACCCGGAGAAGCAGATGCTACAGTTATCATTTTGCTGATACTCTTATTAAGCTCAGGTAAATTATTTCCAATTTACCTTGTATAGCGCTTGTTTGTACATAGCTGTTTGTATGTCATCTCCCTGTGTGTTCTATGTTAGAATGAGTTCCTGGAAAGCCTTTCTTTGTATCCCCAGCATTTAGCACAATGCCTGACACATAGTAGGTACTTACTAAATGATTTCTGACTTACTGACTGCTTGCTCTGCTTAACATTGAAAACTCTCCCAAGTAGCTGCCTTCAAGCAAGGATTATATTTCTAGAAACCGAGGCTTCTAGACTGCTGTCTGGCTTTCCTAGGTATTCTTCCGGGCTGGAATCTTGGCCAAACTGGAAGACATGCGAGATGAACGCCTGGCCAAAATCATGACCATGCTTCAGTGCCGTCTCCGGGGTTTCCTGATGAGGGTTGAATTCAAAAAGATGCTGGAAAGAAGGTATCATCTTTTTTTTTTTTTTAAATCAAACATGGCAGAAAGAACCACTCATGTCCTATCATACATAATTAGGCACCTACTCCTAAGGTCCTCTATCTTCATTTGCTAGAACACACTATATAATACAATATATTGTACTTCAATCTTTTCCCTAGTCCTCAATACCAGTTGAGTAAGTCTCTTACTTGGGACTTAACTTTGTTTGCCTTTGTTTACTTATTTTTTAGAATTTTTTTATTCACTTTAAACTTAAATACAAAATGAAAAAAAAAGAACATTTCTATGTACACAGCAGAACATAGAGGACTCAATACAAAACCATGGATTTCCATTTCAGACTGTTTACTTATTTTTTAAACTATGCATTGCTTTCAAAGCTACCCAGCTTTTCTGGGCTTTCTTCTAAGTTTTCATCTGTTCTCTGCTATATACTTTTTTTTTCCTCCTTCCCTTTCTACCCTGCCCTGCAGAAAGCTACAATTAAACATATGCACATATATACATATACATACATATAAATACACAGATATACATATATGTAAAACCATACTATACATACTTCTAATTATGAGTTCCTTCTCTGGAGGTGGATAGCATCTTCCTTTACAGGTCCAATTCTTTCTATGTTTTTCTAAAATCAACCAGCTCATCATTTCTTACAGCTCAGTAGTATTCCATCACAATCATATACCACAACTTGTTCAGCCCTTCCCCAGTTGAAGGGCATCTATCATTTTAACTAATCTGATGGGCGTAAGATGATATATCCAAGTTGTATTAATATGCATTTCTCTCATCAATAATGATTTAGAGCGTTTTTTCATATGACTATATATAGTTTTGATTTCTTCATTGAAAAACTGCCTATTCATATCCTTTGATCATTTATCAATTGGAGAATTTGCCTTTGTTTATTGAGGAAGAAAGGAGGCGCCTCTGCTAGGTGATGAAGCAGACAGAGCACTGGGTTTACAGCCAAGAAGACCTCAGTTCAAATCTTGCCTTAGATACTTACTAGCTGAGTGATCTAGGGCAATGCACCTAACTTCTCTCCTTCTCACTTTCTGCATTTGTAAAATGAGGTTAATAATAGCACCTACCTCACAAGGTTGTGTGAAGATCAAATATTATTCATATGTATACTATACATAAAATCCATAGATCAGATATGTGTGTAAAGTTCTTTGCAAACTTTAAAGTGCTATATAAGTAATATTTATTAATTACTACCCCATTGTCACCCGGCAGAGAAATTAACAAGACAAATAAGATTTGATGGTCATGGAGGAGAGGGAAGGGAAGAATACTGAGGAAAAAGCCTGGGTTATGGGGTATTGATAGCTCATTGGATGCCCCCAAAGAGAGCCCTGAGAAGCCAGTGTCAAACATCAGGACACTGGGCACTTCAGGGTACACTGAGAGAAATATTACAAACGGCAGGGGACTGCCAGAGACAAGCTTTGCCAATGTTCTAATATTGTCTAGGGCCAACCCTGTATGGCAGCCCTTCCTTGTCTCTCCTCCAGTACACCTGATACTCAACACCTTTCAATGCCTCCATAGTCACAGGATTCTTCCTCCCTCCCTGTTCTGCCATCATGATCCGGGTTCTAACAATAGTATTTTTTTTTACCATGACACCACTATTATTCTCATTATCCTAACTTTCTTATTTTCTGAGGACCAGTAAGTGAAGAAACAAATGAACTCTCTAGAGTCAGAGCCCCGCCTTTCTCAAACCTCTGACAGCTGTCTAGGAATGGACTTAGCATTTCATCATCTGTCCCCTTATCTTGCTGATGACTGCATTTTTCTGATTGCTGTCCTGATTCCCTTCCTGTCTCGCCAGACTCATTGCTCACAGTTTTGAGACAGAACAAGGAGAGATGATGCATCTCTAGGATGTATCTTCGTGTCTGGACAATGCCTGCCACCTACTCCCTTCTTTCTCCATTCCCCTTCCCCCAGGTCTTGATACCATCCCTCCCTCCCCCAACTCATGCAATCCCTTGGGTTTCATTGCAGACTTGGCCTGAAAGTCATCCAGCGAAACATTGGCAAGTTCCTGCAGCTTCGATTCTGGGGCTGGTGGAAACTATACAATAAGGTGAGGGGAGAAGCATGCACCAAAGCCAAGCTCAAGCTCCTATAAGTGCACAAGAGAGCTCATTGAGGGAAGGGTCTCAGTTTCCTTTTCTATAAAATAATGAGTGGACTAGATTACTTCTAAGACAGGAGTTCTCAACCTTTTTTTGACATAATGGACCCCTCTGGCAGTGTGGTGAAGCCTATGGACCCCTTCTCAGAACAATGCTTTTAAATGTATAAAAAAATACATAGAATTGAAAAGGAAACCAATTATAATGAAATAACAGTTATCAAAATGGTTTAAAAAAAAAAACACAACCAGCTGTAGCTCTGGTTAAGAACCCTTGTTCTAAGGTATCTTCCAGCTCTAACATTCTGTGATCCTGTGATTAAAACATGAGCAGTCATTCCCCCTTAACTGAGAATGGGAAGGGTCTGGATTCCTATCTAGCCACATAGGGAACCTAGGAAATAGGGGCACGAGAAATAAGGAAAAGTCTTTCTCCTGGGGAGAGGGAGGCAGGCAGAGATAATGTACATCTCTTAGAGGCAAAAGACTGATAGAGTATATATTTCAAGCCCAACTCCAGATAAAACGCATTTACAAAGAAGAGTGTTTTGATATGAAAATTAATTTGCCTTTTTGTTTTTATTGTTGTCCAGACCTATGGTTTCTTCACTGGCATGAGGATTTCCCAATGTGGAAATTCTTTCCATCAGTGTAGCCTGGCTACTCATTTATAACTTATAGAGTATTGCCAGAGGACTATGAGAGGTTAAGTGACTGGTACATAGTTCCAGAGATAATATATATTAGACATAAGACTTGAACCCAGGTCTGACATCCTCTGCCACACTGATGCTTATATATTAAGATATAAATAAGTGGAAGGTCCAGAACAGTCATGTCCAAAGTATTGGTGGATTTCAAGATAGGCTCTTCCATCTGAGAATGTAAAAGCAGCTTAGGCACATAGCCTGTTAGGTGCTATTATTGGGTCTTAGACTCAACTTTGGATGAACCCAACCTTACTTAGTATTTCCTGAAATTCAGTTCTTAAAAACAAAACTCTTCTCAGAAACATTCCCAGGACACATAGATGACTTAAGAACAATTATTTGGGTATTTTTACTTTAAGCATGACCTCTTTTGGCTGAGGTCAATTCTGTGGAACCAAGAGTAGTGTAAATTAAGGTCAAATTGAGCCAGCTGATGAAAATTATCTGGTTCCTTGGAGGAAATTACCTCTCTAACCCCATAATGGGCATGGCTTGTCTCACAGGTAAAGCCTCTTCTGAATGTGGCTCGGCAGGAAGGGGAGATGAAGGCCAAGGAGGAAGAGCTGGTCACCAAAGTCAAGGAACTGGAAGAAAAAACAGCTGCACTCAGCCAGGAGAATGACCTAACCATCCAGCTGCAGGCAGTGCGTGAGCTAAGGGATAGGGAGCAGAAGGCGTTGCTAAGAGAAGGCACCATCGTTCTTCCCAATCTCCAGGGTCGTAGTTATGCCAGACAATTAGTCACTCAGTGTGAAGAATAGAGAGATGAGGACAGAGGAAGCTTTTCTGAGAAGCTGTATCACACTGGTCTATTAGCAAATGTGACTAATGGGAAGTTTCCCTTGCCTTCCTTCCACCCTAAGGCAATGCCACCTCAGCTTGGGAGCCATAGCATCCCTATGAAAGAAACATAAAAAGTCTTCATTAAGCATTTCTTTGCATGGGCACCATGCCAGACCCTGGATGAATGATTTAGACAGATATGTTCCCTATCTGTCAGTTAAGTGATAATTGGTTGTATAGGGATAGAGATGAGACCTATAATTTCATTGCTGTAGAGAACTCCCAGACGAGGAACATCCTTCTACCAACACAGGGCGGCACCTTCTCTACAACTTACACTCTTAGAGAGTTGCCTGGAATACTAAGAGGTGAAGCGACTTGTCCAGGGTCACAAAACCAATATATGTTTGAGGCAGGACTTGAACCAGGTCATCCCAGCTTTGAGGCCAGCTCTCTATTCATTATACTACACTGTCTCTTAATCAGATGTAAAATGGTACAGTAACGCTCTTAATAAAAATAAAGTTGGGTCCAATCCCCACCCAACCCTAAACCTTTTAATATCTGGCATGTGTATGATTTTCCCCCCATAACTTTCTCAGAAATGTTATCTCACTTTTATCCTTACTATATCTCTGTGAATTAGAAGTGGTATTATAAACCCTATTTTAGAATAGGGGAAACTGGGGCCTAGATAAGATGGATGACATAGTCAAGGTCACTGAGCAGGCAATTAATTAGTAGGCTACTTTTTTATTTTTTGCTTCTGAAAGTACTTTCACATCTATTTTCTTCATTTGATCCCTAAAGCAACCCCATGAAGTAGATATCCCCATTTACTATCCTAATTTCATGGGGGAGGAAACAGGCCCAAAGAACTGTGATCTAAGTTCACATAGTTATTCAATGACAGGGCCACAGCCAGAACTCAGATCCTCTGATTCGCAGCCCTAGGCTCTTGCCGCTAGGCCCTGCTTCCTCTCCCGTGTCTTACCAAGGGGAACCAAAGACATGAATGCCTTTTTCCTTCAATACCCACTTCTACAGAACCAGGATGCCACAAATCTGCTGCCAAATCAGAAATCATCTCTATTGATAAGGTGTTTAGAGATCCTTTAGGAACTCCTTCCCTTTTACAGAAACCCCTTCCCTTCCTTAGGAACAAGAAAACCTCTCAGATGCAGAGGAACGCCTCACTCAGATGAAGAAAACCAAAATGGACCTGGAGAGCCAAATTTCAGACATGAGGGAGAGGCTGGAGGAGGAGGAAGGCGTTGCAGCTTCCCTACTGCCAAAAAGCGAAAGCTGGAAGGGGAGATAAGTGACTTGAAACGGGACCTTGAGGGCGTAGAAACTACCTTGGCTAAGACAGAGAAGGAGAAACAGGTATAGGAGGAATTCACCAACATTGTCAGCAATGCTGACTCTCACTCAGGGCCCGAAGACACCCTGCTCCCCCTTCTCCCCAATTCCAATCAGGCACCATATCTAAAGCCTCATTCTTCAAAGCTAAAGTGAAAACTGCTAGTCAGAGCCCTGGGTAAATGTATGGATGAGGCCTCTAAGCCAAGGCTGGCTATTCAGCCCCTTGCCTGAGATTGCCTTCTTCCACTGCTCTTTCTTCCATGTCATGTTGGGACTGTTGTCCTTCCCGTGCTGCCACAAACAAATATGGCTTCCCTTTAGTCCCTAGGACTCCGTCCTCTCAATATGGAGAACTCTTCCAATCAGCAAAGCTCTCTCCTGCCTAAAGTCTTACTCATTCCCTCTTCTTTAGCCCAGTAGATTCCTCCTTAAATGTGCTCTTCAGTTCTTGTTATAAAGTTGCTGCCTCTGGAAATAAACCCATTCTCCTGGAGACTCCTTGATGCTTCTCCAAGACTCGAGATAAGAATTTGGTTTTTGGCCTACAAGTCTTGGAACCACTTGGCCTTTGATATGCCTGCCTTACCTGTCCATATGAGAAGCCCATTCTCCTGGAGACTCCTTGATGCTTCTCCAAGACTCGAGATAAGAATTTGGTTTTTGGCCTACAAGTCTTAGAACCACTTGGCCTTTGATATGCCTGCCTTACCTGTCCATATGAGAAGCTACGGATGGCTAACCCATTGATTTGTGATTGGACTGGGCTTAGGCATTATCTTGTATCTTTTCACATTCCTAGAGATGGGATGACTTCCCACTATAATGTCAATATCTTCCCCTCCCCAATCTGTAGGCCTTGGATCACAAAGTACGAACCCTGAGTGGTGACCTCTCCCTCCAAGAAGACTCCATTGCCAAGCTCCAGAAGGAGAAGAGGGATCTGGAGGAGCTTCACCAGGTAGAAATATATACTTGACTGGTTCTCACCCTTCATTGACTGAGAACTAAGTGATGTATGAGGCCTGACATTCCATATGGCAGACTTAGGCTGGGTTACTTTCAAGTTTCATTCCAAATATCCCTTGCTTTTTAAGGGGGATAGGAGGCCACTTAAGTAGGAGACTCACCAACTTTCTGAAGGCTGCTACCTCCTAGTGTTGCACCTATAGAAGTATTCCAGAGTCCGGCAGTGCTGTATGGTGAACTCTGATGACCTCCATTTGTCTCTGACAATGCAGGGTAAAGCGTTTCTTCTCTTAAAGCCACTACATAAGTGTTCAGCAGAGCAGAGACTCAATACTAATAAAACAGTGCTGGTGCTGCAGCCAGAATATCTGGGTTCAAATCCTACCTCTGATATTACCTGTGAGACATTGGGCAAGTCACTGAACTTCCTTGGGTCGCAATTTCCTCAATTGGAAAATAAGGATATTGGACTATATGGCTTCTGAGGTTTCTTTCTGCTCCAGTCCTATATATCTATATATGCTATATATAGCCTCAATAAGCTATTTGAATTTAGGTTGGCTTTCAGGAGTCGCTGACTCTATTCCACATTGGCAAAATAACCCAGGATTTGCTACCCAGGATCAGCATCGATTAAGTCAGTGGTTACTACCTCCAACCCTTCTGGAAGGGGCTCCTTACAAAAGATTGAGGCCTTTGCCTCTGCATACTCATTCCCTCATCAGCTTCATCTGGGGATTTCTTTCCTTCCAGAAAACTCTTCAAGACCTACAAACCAAGGAGGACAAGGTGAATCATCTAATGAAAAATAACAGCAAACCTGGCACCCAGATCCATGAGGTGAGACCCAAGTGGTGTGGAATTCTTGGAAGTCCCCATTCCTGTTTGGGGGAAGTGATGTAGGAGGTGGAGAGGCCTAACTTATTCCCCCAGTACTTGTGATGGTATTTTGGCTGAACAACCAAGTGTGTATGCTTTTCGCCTGTCAGTTTTTTTCTCATTTTTGTCTCTGATTTCCTTCCCCCACCTTCTCTTCACTTTCTTGTCTTTTTTTTTTTTTTTTTTGCTTTTTGGTGAGGCAATTGGGGTTAAGTGACTTACCCAGGGTCACACAGCTAGTAAGTGTTAAGTGTCTGAGGCTGGATTTGAACTCAGGTCCTTCTGACTCCAAGGCCAGAGCTCTATTCACTGCACCACCTAGCTGCCCCGACTTTCTTGTCTTCACAGCTGGAAGACAACTGGGAACAAGAAAAGAAGATACAGGCTGAGGTAGAGAAAGCCCACCGGAAAGCTGAGAGGGACCTGAAGATGACCATTGATAACCTTAATGAGATGGAGAGAGCTAAGCTGGATCTGGAGGAGGTGGTTAAGAAGTATGTGCCTTTTAAGTACAATTTACTCTAGCAGTGGATAGGGAGATTGATAGATTAGATAGACAGATAGATAGATAGATAGATAGATAGATAGATAGATAGATAGAAAGATAGATAGATAGATATATTTTTAAAGTGTTTACTGAATGGGGGCAGCTAGGTGGTGCAGTAGATAGAGCACTGGCCCTGAAGTCAGGAGGACCTGAGTTCAAATCTGCCCTCAGACCACACACTCGATGTTAAATCCTCCTTCCACCACGCCACTGTCTCCTCATACCATCTTCCAGCTGAACTGGTCAGAGGAGTAACCATGTCTTTTGGCCTCTAATTTCTAAAACCTATCACCTGAATGCAGGACTCACTGATATACTTTTCGGTGAAAAGCTGACAACATGTTGGAAACATTTAAAATTTTTTAATCTCTTTTGCTTTTACAGTGCCTTCATTTCTAAAAAGATCCCTTCATTCTCCCCTACCTAGAGGTATCCCTTGTAACATAACACAAAAAGGTTGGGGGGGGGAGACAGTTTAACAAAACTAAGCAATATACAAAACCAAGTCTGACAGTATATGTGACGTTCCATACCCATACTCCCCTACCTCTGCAAAGATGGAGGGGGGAGGATATATTTTCTTATCTCTTCTTAGGAACTATCAGAACAATCAGTTTTGTGGTTGTCTTTTCATTTTCAGTGTTATGGTCATTGTGTATATTGTTTTCCTGGTTCTACTTTCTTCACTTGGCATCAGTTTATATAAGTCTTTCCATACCTCTCTGCATTCATCACATTCATTGTTTCTTACAGAAGAATAATATTCTACTACATTTACCACAATTTGTTTAGTTGTTCCCCAAAGACAGACATTTACTTTGTTTCCAATTCTTTACTATTACAAAAAAAAAAGGGCTGCTATGAATATTTTGGTATACCTGGGACCTTTATTCTGTCTTTGACATCCTTGGGGAATATGCCTAATGGCGGAATCTCTGGGTCTACGGACATAGATCTTTTATTCACTATTTTAGCATGATTTCAAATTACTTTCCAGAATGATTAGACCAATTCACAGGTAAAACATTTTATAATCTTTTCACATTAAGTGAGAGCTGAGGATTTTGCTAAAGGGTCTGACTGACCCATAGGATGAGAAGACACTTGCCTAGTAAGGTCCCTCAGAGGGAAGAAGGAGGAAGAACATCCTTTCAGTGACAAGAAGAGGAGTAGTTCTGGCCTGTTTTCCTCTCCCCTGGTCCCCCAAGACCCCCTTCTGAATTCTTTTCTGGCCCTGGATACCTTTCCTAAAAGTGAAATCCTACCTCTGACATTTACTTTGTTTTATTTTCTCCTTAGGAGAGACATGGAAATCAATTCTGTCAACTCCAAATATGAGGATGAGAAATCTCTGAATTCCACACTGCAGAGGAAACTGAAAGAACACCAGGTATGGAGAGAAAAGAGAAGCCCAGATCCCTCCTGAATAATTTTATTTTTCCTTCTCTACATCATTTGTTTTAATCCATGGGATTCAGTCTGTAAGTCAGTCAATGATCATATTTATTAAGCATTTAGTATGTGCCAGGCACTGTGCTAAGTGTTGGAGATACCAAGAAAGAAAAAACCATGGACCTTGCCCTCAAGAAGCTTACATTCTGATGGGGGAGACAGCATGTGAATAACTACAGTGTAAATGGAAGATACTCTCAGAGAGAAGGTACTAGCAGTGTGTGGGGCTAGCAAAGGCCTCCTCCAGAAAGTAGGATTTGAACTGTCTTGAGAGGCAGAGGTGAGAGGTAATAGCCAGGCTGCATGACCCATGGCCAAGAGTAGGGCCCACTGCAACATTTTTTACCTTGAAATTTTCTCAGTGGTTGGAGAAACTCATCTATAAATTGAAGCGTTTGGACAAGTTGGCCTTTCAAGTCTCCCCTAGCTCTAGACCTATGATCGTAAGCCCAGGAAAAGCTGGCAAACATGTATGTCTCTCAGCTTGTGTCCAAAGTCCAAAGCCCCACCCAAACTTGGCTCATATTAGAAGCAGCTGGTGGACAGAGCATTGAACCTGGAGCCACGAGGGACCTGAGTTCAGATCCAGCTTCAGATACTTATTACCTGTTTGATCCTGGGCAAATAACTTAACTCTGTCTGCCTTAGTTTCCTCAACTGTAAAATGAGGATAATAAATGAACTACCTCCCAGAGTGGTTGTGAGAATCAAATAAGATAATAGTTGTGAAACATTTAGCACAGTAGTAAGTACTTGATAAGTTTTTCCTTCTTTCCTTCCTTCCTTCATTCCTCCTTCCATGTTCATCCTCCATTCTTGTAAGAATTCAACTCAGCAAGCACGTATTAAGTGCCTACTGTATGCCAGGCACTGTACAAGTTGCTTAGGAACACAAAGACAAAATTAAACACTCTCTGCATTCAAGTAGTTTACAGACAGTTCTCCCTTTACTTAAGTGGACCATTCCGCAGACCTCTATGCAAAGCGACTTTTACCTAATTAGAATTTGTCAGAGGATATGAGGAAGGGGGAAGATGGAAGAAGGCAGGAAGGGGGCCCTAACTGCCTGAGGAGGGAGGGAGCCGGGCACAGGGTTGAAGGACAAGTGGGGACAGAATTGATGAGGAAGGATGGGGCAGGAACTGAGAGGAAGAAGGGTAGGGCAGACATATTGTGGCTGGGCATATTCACAGACAGGAAATGATGGGTGAAACAGATACCCCAGTGCAGAGGGATGGAAGACAGACATATGAGGCAGGACAGGGCCGAAGGTGGGCAGAGCAGGGCAAAAATCTTTTCTCTTGACACAGCCAAGACCCTGATCTGTGAGTCCTTCACTTGGAGGGTTTTTTTGGTGGTTTTTTTTTGGGGGGGGGAGGAAGTGAGAGGGAGTAGGGAGGCCTTGGAAAGCCAAGCAGAGGGCCAGGAGGAGAGAGAGAGAGAGAAGAGAGAGAGAGAGAGAGAGAGAGAGAGAGGAGAGAGAGAGAGAGAGAATATAGTACCATACAATAAAGTTAAGATAGGTGTGTTTTGGAAGGCCAATTTCTTTCTGAATTTTTTACATAAAGTTGAATTTGCATAATGAGAATTTGTGTAAAGCGAGAATTGTCTGTATATTTTATTGAGAGAAAACAACATACACAAGAATACACAATAGGTAAATAGTCACTATGTAATAAACACAAAGTAGGTCCAGAGGTAATCAGGAAAGGTCTCTCGGAGGAGGTGGTGATTGAGCTGAACCTTGAGGGGAAGGTGAGAAAGGCCAATATTCCAGGGATGGGATATACTGAGATGGGAGAGGGAATGTTGTTCAGTCATTTTTCAGTCATGCCTAACTCTCTGTGACCCCATTTGGGATTTTCTTGGCAAAGATACTTGGGTGGTTTGCCATTTCCTTCTCCAGCTCATTTCACAGATGAGGAAATTGAGGCAAGCAGGTAAAGTGATTTGCCCATGATCATACAGCTAGTAAGGTTTGAGGTCGAATTTGAACTCGGGAAGATGAGTCTTCCTGACTCCCCATCCAGCATTCAATCCACTGTACCACCTGGCTACCCAGAGCAGTGTTGTCAAACTCAGATAGAAACAGATCCCTCCAGGCTGCTTGTGGCAAATTTGATACCTCTAATGCAAAGGAAACATCTCATTTTTGAGCAGTTGGCATGTTTCTTAACTCCCTCCCAACCTCATCTTTTACCTTATTGATTGAGGTTGATAGTGTATGTACTGTGTTCCTGTACTGTGTTATCTTCTTGTAACAGTTGGGGCTGATCTAGTTTAACTTCATGTGACAAAGATGAAATTCTTGTTTGTGCATCTGCCAGGCCCGGATTGAGGAACTGGAAGAAGAATTAGAAGCGGAGAGGGCTTGAGAGCAAAGGTAAATAGCAAAAAGTTCTCACTCTCTGGCAGAAGTGCTAAGAAAGTCTAAAATCCAGCTATTGTAAGTGAACTGCAGCTTAGGTCCGGCCAAGAAATGGAGAAGGGCCTTGTTAGCCTTGGCTGAGCTGGGTCCAGTATACCAGGCTAGGCGGGAGAGGAAGAAAAGGAAAAGCACTTGGCAAGAAAACAAAACAAGACAAAAAAAGCACTATTGGAGTTAGAACTGATTGAAAGAGTCCACTTATTCACTGAGTCCCCAGAACCTAAGGACTTTGGGTATATTCCCAAGTTAACTGCATCCCTGAATTTACTGTGGAACTAAGACTTATTCACTCAAGCTAATAGAAGGGACTGATGAATTCCCATTTATTGAAATGTCTCTAACAGCCATGGCAGTACATCAAACTGACCTAAAATATAGTCCTTGCTCTCTAGGAGCTGGCGACCCAAAGAGATATTCACAGAGGGGTCATATCACTAAGGCTCTTTCCCCAAATGCTTTCATAGGAGAAGAAACAACGGGACCTTGAAGACCTCAGTGACAGGCTGGAAGAAGCTGGAGGAGCCACCTCTGCTCAGGTGGACAGAGAAGGACATACGCTTCCCCCGACCCACCCTAGAGTTCAGGTTGTAAAAATGCTGATGTGTTAGAGAGAGGTCAAGGACCAGTTTTTTAAAAATTTCTTAAATTTTTTTTTAATTTAATTTAATTTTTAATTTTAAAAAATTTCTTGGTGTGAAGCCAATTGATGAACCAACCATGTCTTCATTTGTCTGTAACTCATTTGGTTGGGGCATAGGTCTAATGAGGTCAATGTTATGGGTCTGATCTCAGTGTGAGCTAGTTGGCTCTTATGTGTCTATAGACTCACACAATACGTACACCATTAATCTTGACCAGCTGACTCACAAAAACAGGGCCTTAGGAAAGACGAAGCATATCAGTGTTTTCTCTTTGGTTGGAAAGATCTACTGACCTAATGGGTCAGGAGCATCATCTTTAGATTTAAAACACAATTTTTTTCATTAAAAAAATATAACTAGTAGGACCACCTTAGTACTTGGCATTTTAAGCGCACAGTGTCTGAGTGCTTCATCACAAGCCCTATTACTGCTTTCCTGGAATTGACCCCTAAGGTCACAAAGGAAAGAATACGGGCTGTACCAAGGTCGCCTCCTGAGTGCTTAGTAATAGACATTTCTACCTTAACCTCTTGGATGAATTGTTACTGTAGTTTACTTGAGCCCAACAGTGAAAGGCTTCAGCTCAACATATGTGGGTCCCAGGCCCGGCTCCACACTGACTTTTCCTTAACAGTTTCGTGCCTCAGTTACCTCAACTATACAATGTCAATGATATTATTTGCCTCTATCCCTTCCGCTGGAGGGTAATGGGAGAATGAAGTGGGTCTGGAACTCTGAGCTCCTTAGAGAGAAGCACTCTCCAAGGTCAAAATGTTACTGCATTTTATAAGCTAGCACATCTAGATGTATTCATATTTTCAATGGTGTAAGCCTAGTATGGTGCCTTGTGCATTGGTGCTCAGTGAGCATTTGCTGAATGAATGAATGAATGAATGTTAAACAGATTTAAGTCACACATTGCTAGTACAATAACCAGCCAAATTAGAGTCATAAAATTTTTAGAGTGTCCATCTATCCAATAAATACCTTCCACCCCTCTGCAAAATACACACACACACACACACACACACACACACACACACACACACACACGCCCCAATATCCCCAACAAATGGTCATTGAATTTCTGCTTGAAGAGCTCATTAAGGGAAGTCCCTACTTTCTAAGGTAGCCCATTCTACTTATAAAAAACCTTGACTGGGAGGAAATTTCTTTTCACATCAAGCCTAAATTGGCTTCTTGACAACTTTCACCTATTGCTCCTGCTTTTGCCCTGGGGGTTAAACGGAGCTCATGTAGTCCCTCCTCCAGCTTGAAGATGGCTACCGCGTCCCATCCTGTGTCTCCAAGCTAAAGATGCCCATTTCTTTCATATGGTACCTACTCAAGTCGTGGTTGGGACCTTCTGTGGATACTCTTCAGCTTATGGACCCCGTTGCTGAACACAATACTCCGAGTGTGGTGTGGTGGGGATGGGGAGAGGAAATAGCAGTAAGCGTGAAGCTCCCAGATTTCAGTTAATTTTACTTTTGCCTCACTTCCGAATCTTCTGTTCTATCCCTGCTGCAGATCGAGCAGAACCGCAAGTGGGAGGTGGAGCTCCTGAAGCTTCGCAGGGAGTTGGAAGAGGCAGCCTTGCAGAGTGAGGCCACTGCCTCTACCCTGCGCAAGAAGTGCACGGATTCCATGGCTGAGCTCACCGAGCACGTGGAGAACCTCCAGAGGGTGAAGGCCAAACTGGAGAAGGACAAGCAGGTCGTGAAGGCGGAGACTGATGACCTCAGTGCCAGCATGGAGGCTGTCCAGAAATCCAAGGTGAGGCAACACTGGGCATCTTCCTCATCCCCTAAACCTTGGACTGAGAACATGGGTTGGCTCCAAAGGAAGCATGCAGGTGTCCCATGGCCCTTTCTCTTTGGAGAGAAGGTCTTCCCAGGCCTCAGAAGCTGTCAGTCAAACGGTACCAGTTCCATAAGATTTTAGGTAGATGGGAGTCTGCATAGACTGCATAGCATAGCTGCCATAGCTACTCATAGGAAGCCATCAGGTAGTTCAGGTTTCCAACTAGGAAGGGAAAGGACTCAGGGAGGGAGCAATTTAAGCAAGTGAATTCAGCTGTGAGCCTGCTTAGGCCAGAGCAGAGAAGAAAGGTGAATTTGCTCATTAGGCTTTCATCTGGCTACATATAAACACATGTATATATGCAAATGTATACACATATGTACATGTATAAATTTATACATGCATGCATATGTATATATTATATAGAGAGCATCCTGGGGAATACCTTTTGGCTAAACAAATTATATATGATATATAAATGAATAAGAAAGAAAATAAAAATGTATATTAAGGCTTGAATTTATTGATTATAAAGGGACTCTTTCTGGCTATATAGAAATGCATTTGTGTATGCATTTGTATGTATGAATGTATACATGCATGTACATTTATAAATATATACACATACAATAAAGAGAGCATTAGAAGTAATACTTTTTGGTTAAACAAATAAATTATTTATAATATATAAATGTATAAGAATAAAAATAAAATATATATTAGGGCTCGAATTTATCTATTTTGGAAGGGACTCCTTCTCAATTGATATATATATATATGTATACACACACACACACACACACACACACACACACATATATATGGAAGAAAAAAATTTAGGCACAAATCAATAAATAAACAAGAATTTAAAATGTATTCAAGCTTGAAAATATATAAGTAGAATATAAATAAGAATAAAATATAAATATACATCAAGAATATATATTCAGGCCTGATTATACATGCAGATTCATGTTTATTCTTATTTTATTTATATTATCCACATATTCAAGTTTGAATGTATTATATATATTTAAAATTTTTCATTTATTTATTTAATCTAAACCATTCCCCTCTCAATCTTCTGTTTCCCCCACATGACTCCTGAAAGACATACTTTGGCCTATTGTAAAGAAAAGATGCCAAATTTCTGCTGTTTCACTTACCACAAAAGGTCAAAAGAACTCATCCTTTTGTAGTGGGCTCCCTTTCTAACTCCTGAGTGCCATCTTTGTCTTCAGGTGAATGCTGAGGCTCATGTCTGGAAGCTGGAAGACAATCTATCTGAGGCTAACGCTAAAGTGGCCGAACTGGAGAGAAACCAAGCAGAACATAATGCTATCAGAACCAGGCTTCAAGGTAAAGTCATTTCCCTAGGATCCATCCAAGGAATGGTACAGGGTGGAAAATTCTGTCTTAGATGTTGGGATGGGGTGAGGTTTTCCCTGGACTTGGAAAAAAAAAATCACATCCAATTCTTATCTGTGATGAGAGAGGATTTAATAGCATAGAACTGAAAAGTGAGACTAAAAATATGAAAAATAACATCTATGTTTGTGAAACTATACTTTTCATGTATATTATCTTTGTGTTATGTATGTTATCTATGTGTGTTCTTTCTCATGCTTTTATTATCTTTCAAGGCATCTGCTATGCTTTCTTTCACGTGTGTTATCAATTCATGAGGCATTTGTTAAACACTTGGTTTATGCCAGATACTTATAGGCACTGGGGATCTAAGACAAAAAAAAAAATAGACAGAAGCTGAACACTCTCTGTCCTTGAAAAGCTTATACTTCTCTGATGCAGAACAGCGTGTATGCAGGTAAACAAATAGAAAATGAAGGCAAGGTGATTTCTAGGGAGAATCAGGAAAGGTTTCTCTGGTAAGAGCTATCACACCAGAGCTGAACTTTGAAGGAAAAAAAAGAGGGGGAGGCGCTTTACGAGGAGGTGAGGAAGGAGAACATTCTTAGTGTGAAGAGGACACCTGTGGAAAGGAACACAGTGAGGGTTAAATCTTGTGAGATGGAGCCTGTCCTGGCAGGGATGGCTGCCTTTGGTGGTGCAGTGGTTAGAGCACTGGACTTAGTGTGAGGAAGACCCAAGTTCAAATCTAGCCTCAGACACTTACTAGTTGTGTGACCCTGGGCAAGTCACTTAACCTCTGTTTTCTCAATTTCCTCAACTGTGAAATGGGGATATTAACAGCCAAGGATGTTGTGAGGATCAAATCAGATAATATTTGTAAAGTGTTTAGCACAGTGCTGGGCATATAGTAGGCATTTTATATAAATGCTTATTACCTTTCCTCCTCCCTCCCCTTCCTAAGACTTACTGGATCCTCACACCCTCTCTGTGAGGTAGGTAGCATGATGCAGTGGAGTGGGAAAAAACCACAACTGAACATGAAGATAAAAGATTTAGGCTCCAGTGCTAGGTCTGGCACTAATTAGCTATGTGACCTTGGGTAAGTTGCAGTCTCTCTGAGGCAGAGTTGCCTCATCTACCAAATGATGGCATTGGAGCAGATAGCTATGAAGGTCTTTTCTATCTCTGAGAGTCTGTGATTTGACAGATGAGGATACTGAGGCTCAGAGAAGTTAAAGGATTTGTTAGAGGTCATATATTTTTTAAAAGAGCCTAAACTGGAACCCAAGTTTCCTTGCTGTTTAAATAGCTTCTTTCTCTGGCCCTTCAAAACTCTATGTGTCACCTCTTTGGTGGAGTAAGTTTAAATTCTGGGACTGCAAGCATATTGTGTAGAATGGCTCCCCTCCATCTCATCCTTCTCCTCAGTATGCTCTCACCAACTACCCCTGAGGACAGGATGGATTGCCTAGGTGGTTATTATACCTATGCTTTCTTCCCAGGAAATTTTTTTGGCACAGAATCATCTTTCAGCTAGAGTTTAATTTTGGTTGCTGGTTGCTCAATGTTTTCCATATTTCAATTCAATTAGAGAAGTCTTTATGATTTATTAGTAAATATTTATAATATCATGGTGTCTTGCATATAGAAAGTATTTTAATAAAGCCTTTTTCACTTATTCATTCATTCCAGTATTTCTTATTAGACAGAGGGTCAGCCTTGGAATCAGGAAGACATGGGTTCAAATCCTGTCTTTGACACATACTAGCCATGAGAACTTGGGAAAGTCACTTAACCTTTTAGTGCCCCAGTCATCTCTTTGCTACTATAATTACAGATGAGTATATTTAGAGGTCTACTACTCTGCATTAGTGGAAGGGATTCCATGCCCAGATTTCCTCCACATCGATGAAATCACAAGCCAAAAACAAAAAAACAAAACAAATTCCCCTCCTAATCTTCTACTATTCCTTTAAGTCAGTTCAGGAAACTTAGAAACTTGCCAGAGAGTCTCTTTTTCTTCTAGACCTCTTTTCATTTTCTCTCCTCTTTATCTAGCTGAAAACAGTGAGCTAAGCTGGGAACACGAGGAATCCCAGAGTTGGCTAAATCAGATCTTTAGGATTAAGACTTCGCTGTCCTCTCAGGTAGAAGACTACAACAGGCAGATGGAAGAAGAGTCAAAGGCTTGAGAAACAGAAACACAGAATCACAGAATTTAAGCGTTAGAAGGGCCCTCCGTGGCAGTCTAGTCCAATGCACAGGAATCCTCACTACTGCACATGAAGCAAACAAGTGCTTGTCTGGCTTCTCCTTGAAGAGGAGCCCATCACCTCACTGAGGCAGCTCCTTCTACTTTGGGACAACCCTAATTGTTAGAAGGTTTTTCCTGATACTGTCCTTAAGTTTTCCTCTTGGTAACATCACCCTTGCTCCTCCTGTAGCCAAAAAGAACATGTTTCCCTCCAACACAAGACAGCCCTTCAAATACTTAAAGAGGGGCTGTGTGTGTGTGCGTGTGTGTGTGTTTGTGCGCGCACGTGTCCACAATGGCCACACTGAAAAAACAAAGAAAGCAAGCAAGCAAGCAGGCAAGAAAGAAAGAAAGAAAGAAAGGGGTGGAGACAGCTAGGTGGTGCAGTGGCTAGAGCTCTCACCTTGGAGTCAGGAGGACCTGAGTTCAAATCCAGCCTCAGATACATGACACTGGGCAAGTCACTTAACCCCATTGCCTAGCAAAAAAAAAAAAGGCAAAAACAAACAAACAAACACAATGGCCATGCTGAAGTAGTTACAGTTAAGAAGAAAGTTAAGTGTTCCAATAAGGCCCAGAAAGAGATTAACACCAGTTGGTAGGCACATTCTCTAATATATCTACTATCCACAGTCACACAGTGCTGCTGTCGCGAGTCTGGCCAACACCAAACATGCCTGGATTTGATAAAGGAGCAGCTGGAGGAAGAGCAAGGGGGCAAATCTGAGCTGCAGCGCCTGATGTCCAAACTCAACACAGAGGTGACCATGTGGAGAACCAAGTATGAAACTGACGCCATTCAGAAAACAGAGGAGCTGGAGGAGACCAAGTGAGTCTTGGGCCTTGGGTGGGAGAAGGAGCCCTGACTATAGTTCTATAATTAAATGCTAGATGAGTGGTAAAGGCAGGCAGGCCTACATGATTTCAGAGGAGAAAAAGAATAGGGGGAACAGGGAAAAGAGTGGCCCAACAAGACTTCAGAGAGGTAGTGGGCCTTGAGTTGTCCCTAGAAGGATGATAATTTTCAACCTGGAAGCAACCTGAGAGGCTATCTAGTCTACCACTCATTTCACAGATAAATGATTTGCCCAGAGTCACACAGCTAGTTAGTGTCTGAGGCAGGATTTGAACTAAGCTCTTCCTGACTCCAAGTGCAACATTCTATCCACCGTGAGATGGAGTAGAGGGAGAGAGAAGAAGTAAAAACCAAATTTTAGGTTGTTCAATGATGTAGTTAATCTCTGGTTAAATGATCTGTTTCCAAACAATGGCCAGGATGAAGTACAAGAATAGAGCCCTTTGTGCAGGAATGGCTCCTTTTATATTCCTAACCACTTCTCTTGGACTTTGTACCCACAGGGGGAAACTGGCAGCCAGGCTGCAAGAAGCAGAGGAGGCAGCAGAAGCTGCCCAGGCCCGGGCTGCCTCCCTGGAGAAAAACAAACAGAGGCTCCAAGCAGAAGTAGAAGATCTCACCATTGATCTGGAGAAGGTAAGAGGCTCAGCTGAGCTTCTGCCTGGGGAAAAGATTACACGGCATCATCATGGGGGATCCTGGGAGGAGTCAGGTTACTGAGAAGAAGCAGGGTCCAACGGGGTTGAATAAAGGCTTGGGACATAGAAACCTTGAATTCCAATTCCCCCAGTGGTCACTCCAGGAATTCCTTGGGCTTTTTCACTTGTTGTATTCTCAAAATTGGATAAGCCATTCTTTTTCATCTGTTTTATATACTTCAGTGTAAAGAAGTATAAGTAATTTACTGGGTCTGTGAGCTCATCAATATAGGTACTTCCTCCATTGGTACAACCCATCCATACGTTCTCATTTCTGTGCAATCCTTATCTATGAAACATGAAATCAACATTTATGAGAAAAGTAACATTTCACAGTATCAAATTGGGGAGAAATGTTAGGGGTCCCCCTTATTTCCTATTCTCTGATACCAAAGCCATTCCCATTCTTTAATAGATCATCCATGTACCCCTTCACACAAGAAACCATGTTTATGATAAAGGCAAAATTTGGTAATGGGAGGAAATGTTAGGGGTCCCTATTATTTCCTATCCTCTGATACCAAAGCCATCCCCATTCTTCAGTAGATCATCCATGCACCCCTTGACATGGGAAACCATGTTTATGATAAAGGCAACATTTGGTAATGGGAGGAAACATTAGGGGTCCCCCTTATTTCCCACCCTCCAATACCAAAGTTATCCCCGTGCTTAGATGTTCTCAGCTATTCATATTGTTACGTGTCCATGCTTCTCCACTTCAGAACGATCTGCCAGCTTTCCATGGTATGTAATTCAATATTTAAGCAGGGCCCACAGATCTTATTTAGGTTAATGTAAGGCTATTGCCTCATACTATCTGTTAAGGCAGATCAGTTTCCAGCCAGCACCTATCCAATGAGGAAAGAATTTCATAATCATAGTCATGTAGGTGGCTAGTGAAAAACAAGTGAGGCACTTGAGAGTAACTGTTCCAAAATCCACAAGCAAAGGTGACTTCATCTTCGTGGAAGAGCAGTTGGACAGAATTTAGCTGAAGTTAATCCACCTAGGATAAACCAGAAATTAACATTCTTAATCTTAGGGATTATGTGAAGAACTAAAGGGAAATGAAAAAATAAACTCTAGAAACGACCAGCTTTGTTTGACAGCAAAAAAATTAATTGGTTCTTATGTGTATTGCATAATGATGCATATTGACTGGTAGGTCAATCAACAAGCACTTATTGAGTGCCTACTATGTGCCATGCATGCATTGTGCTAGGTACCAGGGGTAGAAAGACAAGGAATGAAATCCTATCCACTCTCAAGGAATTTATTAATAGTGTATATTATCACACTATGGAAAAGGAAGAGTTGAGAAATTGGGTTGTTTTGTCTTAGGAGAGAATATATTGTATTCTTATTCCAAAAATTACCATTGTCACAAAAGGTATGTGCTAGTAAAAATTTAACAACCAGATCTGTGAAAATGCATGACACACTTAAATTTAATCTGCATTATTAATATTTTCATTGTTACTTTCTTTAGTCTATAAATCAACAAAAGAGTAAACCAAGCCCTGATTTATAGGATTTGCTGATTTCTACGATGTACATGCTGACAAAGAAAATTTAGCAATAGGCTCTCACTAACCAGTATAACCTGGCTCCAGCACATCCTTCCCTGGCTATAGGTCCCCATGTAGTCATCATATAAGCAAAACAAAAGACATACCCAACAAGAGTATAATTCAAGCTTCATTTCTCTAGGCCAATGCTGCTGCTGCTGCTGCTGCTGCTGCCCTGGACAAGAAGCAAAGGATCTTTGATAAAATGATAGCTGAATGGCAGCAGAAATGTAAAGAGCTGCAGGTCGAGGTGGACAGCTCCCAGAAGGAGTGCCGCATGTACATGACCGAGAGCTTCAAGATCAAAACAGCCTACGAAGAGTCCATAGAGCACCTGGAATCTGTGAAGAAAGAGAACAAGACATTACAAGGCAAGGCCAACACAACCTACAAGGGACTTAGAGAAAGAGCACGGGGGGGGGGGGGCACGGCTGCACGCTGAACGCTCTGGGACAAGTCCTGTCCCCTGGGCAGCCTCAGGTTTTGTCAGGCTTAACGACACCAATATCAATGACACCAACTTCACACTCTGTAATTAGGGTTCAGTACCTTCTATTGAGTCTCTATTTGAAGGGGGGAAAAGGGGACTTTTGGCTACAACTATAACATAATAATTGGCATTTATATGGCACTTTAAGGTTTGCTTCTACTTACATTAACTTGTTTGATTCTCACAATAACACAGTGAGGCAGTTGGAGTAAGACAGATTTATAAAAGGATAGCACTAGACCTGTGATTTAATTAGTTAAATGAAACTCCAAGGTGAGGAAGCTCCCTCTACCAATGCAAGTCAGCATCTGTACCTACAACTTATAAGTCCTACAGAATTGTCTAGAGCCCTGAGAAGTTATGTGACTTGCCCAGGGTTACACAACCGGTAGATGACAGGGTCAGGAAATGAACCCTAGTTCCCTCTGGCTTTAAGGCTCTCTTTCCAATATGCTACACCAGAACAGATTTACATATTACCCAGAATAACACAGATGTCATTATCCCCATTTTAAAGATGAAGATACTGAGGGTCAGAGAGGTTGTTCTTCCATCATGGTGACATAGCTAATAAGTTTCTGAGATGGGAGCTGAACTTAGGTCTCTTCTGTCGTCAAGTCTAGCACTCCATTACACCAAACTCTTTCCATAATACTACCTTCTTTGATGTAATGAGGCAGCTGGTTTCAGTGGACAGAACTGGGCCCAGAGTGAGAAAGACTCATTTTCTCGAATTCAGATTTGGTCTCAGACACTTACTAGCTGTGTGACCCTGGGCAAGTCACTTAACCCTGTTTGCCTCAGTTTCCTCATCTATAAAATGAGCTGAAGAAGGAAATGGCAAACCACTCTGGTATCTTTGTCAGGAAAACCCCAAATGGGGTTATGAAGAGTCGGACACAACTGAAGGACTGAACAACAGCTTTAACATAATGGATCAAATACTATTACAACAAGCTTTAAGGAAGTATCTCAGTTTTCCCATTTCATTGGAACTTTGCCCTGGTGAATATTGCTTAACACAGGGGACTCAGGAAATATCAGAGACACTGAACCCAAGTCTATTCTAAGCCCAATGATGAATGCTTCTTTCGTTTTATCATTGTACCTAAATGACAACACATGCACATAGATCAACAACATACACATAGTTCTTCAAAGATCCCAGAGTTATAGGAGAAACATCAAAAATTGATAGTTTAATATTTGTTGGCTTTGTCCCCTATACATTTGCTGAAGTTCACAATTTAACAAATAAAATTGATAAATAAAATAAATAATAAAATAAAATAGAAATTAAAATATAAAATATAAATAAAATATAAATAAAATTAATAAAATAATAAAATTAATAAAATTAAAAGAGAGAGTGGTAGGCCATAGCAAAATTCCAACGTAACCTGTGAATTAAGATATTTCTTTAAAGTTTGTTGTAATGACATTTGATTTATTGTGTTAAATAGAGTAGTATAATGGAAGTTTTCTGAAGTAGGCTTCAAAGCTATCAATTCTATTGATTCCAACAGAATTACATGTAATGGGGGTTTTCCAGCACAGGAAGATGAGAGTGGCACCCTTATCTTTGTTCGATGATGAACTTCAGCGCAATTATTCTTTCTAATAATGATGATAATAGGTAGCCCGCTTTGATAACTCAGGAATCTATGATTGCACCATTGTGAGTGCTCTTCTCATTTGACACAGAAATGACCCTTGTCTTCCCTAATACAGGGTCTCTGTGAATTGCCAGGGCCTCAAGGGAATCACCATCTTCTGGCTAGTCTTCTGAGGATAAGCCTCTCTGACCTGGTCTAAACTGATCCTTGGTAAAATGATGGCATTGGACTAGATGATAGCCAAATTCCCCTCTATGTCTGGATTGATAAACCTATGACAATCTGTTGCTAGCCTCCAATAAGAAGCCTTTCCATCTTTGGAGTCACCATGATACAGAGGAAAGACCAGAGACTCTGGGGTTAGAAGAACTTGAATTCAAATCCCAACTCTGCTACTCACTACTGTCTGCGACTACAAGCAAGCAGCTCTAGATCTAAGATCCTTTGACAATCTGCTGCTAAGCCCTATAGGAAGCCTCTCTATCTTGGAAAGTCAAGCTCTGGGGTCAGGGGACAAGAGTTCATATCCCATTTCTGACACTTGCTGACTTGCCTGTCAGTAAACATCCCTGGGCCTCCGGTTGGATTAGATAGCTTCTGAAGTCCCTTCTAGCTCTGGATCGATGATCTTATTATGGGGCCTGCCAGAGCTTTTCCTCCCTGCAACAGGAGCAGAGATCCATGGAAAAGATAATGTCATGTGTGTTGAGCAAAATGAGCTCTTTGAAGGTCAAGGCTATACCAACCATTGACAGTGTCAATGATGATAATGTTCCTTTTCAGAGGAGATCAAAGACTTAATTGACCAGCTGGGTGAGGGAGGACGGAATGTACATGAACTTCAGAAGTTGAAAAAGAAGTTAGAGATTGAGAAGGAAGAGTTACGGGTGGCCCTGGAGGAAGCTGAGTCTTCCCTGGAGGTAATCACTCAGGCAGCTCCTTTGGATGATGGAGCCTCCTTTTCTGCGTGCCAAGTACCAGCAACTGAGTCCCTGGCCCATTACAAGTGACACTGTATATTTTCTGGCAGGTGGAAGAGAGTAAAGTGATATGCATTCAGCTGGAATTGGCTCAAGTCAAAGCTGACATTGATAGGAGAATCCATGAGAAGGAAGAAGAATTTGAAGCTACAAGGTAAGGGGGAATGCATAGGATGTAAGACAGGTTCTTCAAAGCAATTCCACTGGGGGAAAAACCTCCTTTCCTTTGCTCATGGGAAAGGACTAACTTTGGCTAAAATAAAATGCAACTTTTGATTTGGGCATAGTTCACTTCAGTACAGTGACCCAAGAAAGTAGTTTTCCTGCTTTAAGAAACGTCTGGACATGTTCCTAGTACTTTTTTTTTTTAGTTTACAGAAAATAGATGTTGTGATTTGGAGAAGAATACTATTTTCCAAGTTGTCCACATTGGAACGCTGTCTTACATGCTTGACTAGCAGCCACAGGAGCTGCTTGGCCAGGGATTCCTGACCCTTTTGAAGTTGTAACACACTATTTGTTTTATTTTGTAACCCCACCCCACCCCACCCCAATACTCATAAACAAAAGTTACTCCTTACCCCATCTCAAAGTGCTATCTGTATAGCCATTGTGAGAGATGGCTCTGGGATCAGAGGGCTATACCCTAGACATCCACTCAGGTCCATGGCAGGGTCAATTATACAGTACATTATGTGGCACAGTTTTTAAATAAAATGAATTAAAAGTTATTTTATTTTGAGAATTTAATGAAACCCTTTGTGACAACTAGAATCATAGACAACCCAAGACACCCATCACAAAACCAAGGTGCAGTTCATTGTCCTGCTATGTTACAGAGCTGAGCTGACCAGTTTGAGGCTGGGTATTCTTTCATTCTTTCCTCCCCCAATTAATCAACCAGGTATATGAGAGGCCTCCTCTTCTAGAGGAGGCTTACATAGGCTTGCAGTCTAGAGCTGGACTAGCTGTTCTTGTTTAAATAGGCAGGAAGAACCACCAACGAGCCATCGAGTCCCTGCAAGCCAGCCTGGAGGCTGAGGCCAAGGGACGGGCCGAGGCTCTCTGGCTCAAGAAGAAGATGGAGACAGATCTGAACGAAATGGAAATCCAACTGGATCATGCCAACAAAAACAACAGCGAGCTTGTCAAGACCCTGAAGAGGCTACAGCAACAAATCAAGGTACTGTGGAGAAGAGGAGGAGCTGGAAGGCAAGGAGGACCAGGGGCTACCTAGGGCTGAGGGATGCCTTGACTTTGCCCAAGTCTTCAGGTGATTGCCTCAGCAAGGATCAGAAATCTAAGGAATGTAGACTCAACTAGGTCCAGCCTAGTAGGGCCTTGGCCTTACTGATTCTTTTATACATCTGCTTAATGAACTGTACTCCCCCACCTCTTTACTTCTCCACCCCCCCCCCCACAAAAGTTCATAAAGCATGATGAGCCTGTGCATGAGGTTTTTGCTAGGAGAGAAGACACCAGCACAGGTAACTGTAATATACAATCTTCAATGGTTAGGGAGGCTTGAACACAAAGAGCCATGTGGGGAATGGTTGTAGCCATCCTGAGAAATCAAGGAAGTCCTCCTGGAGGAGAGAGCATTTGTGTTGGCCTTTAAAGGATAGAGAGTAATTCAGCTGGCAAAGATGGACAGGGAAGGTCATGAATTTAGAGCTAGAGGGATCTCAAAGGCCATTCTAACCTCACTCATTTTATAGATGAGGAAACTAAGATCCCAAAAGATGAAGTGGCAAGATGTGAACTCAGGTCCTTTGACTCCAAAACAGTGTCCTTTCCACTGTCCCACACTGCCCATAAGTGCCTATTACAATGGATAATAACTGAGGAAACAATTTGAGCTATATAATTAGCAAAACAGGAATAATAAACGGGTCAATGGACTCCCCAGTCAGTCCAAAGACTCTGAATACAGAGTGAGACAGATTTTTATGTAATTAAAAAACAATCAAATAAAATCAATTAATTACAAGAAAATAATTAATCAGGACACAAGCCAAGATATAAAATTAGGTAATCTAATTTCTAATTGGAGGAAAAATTGGGGTTTCCCAAGTTGGCGATAGGGTATGTGGAAGAGTGAATTTTAGTCAAGTTGGGAAGGGGATGAGCGGGTTTGGGGTTTCATTTCCCAGGATTGAGAGATGCTGATTAATTGCATCCACCTACATTTATGAAACAGTAGATGGCTTATATCATCGAGTTTCCCATGGATGATTTGCAGAAAAACAAGATGGAGGAGAATATATATGGCAACACAAGATGGAGTCAGCGTTCATGAGATAGAATCTAATTGGTTCTCTTGATTCCTACACCAAACCAACTCTGTTTTTGTAACTGACCTTCACTCTATCTCATCAGTTGTACAGTGGTTGGCACATAGCAGGCATTTAATAAATGGCTCAACAGATTGATTGACTGATTCCAGGCAGAGAGAACAGCATGAGCAAAGGGGTGGAAAAGGTGGGAAAGTGCAGGGAGAATTTGGAATAGGGGTAGGCAGAGAATAGTCCAATTTTCATGCCCCCTTTCCTCTTGCAGGATCTCCAGATCCAAATGGATTGGGGATGCTCGGCAGCATGAGGAGCTTCGGGAACAGTATAATCTTCAGGAACGCCGCCTGAGCCTCCTGCAGACAGAATTGGAAGAAGTTCGGTCTAGCCTGGAGGGCAGCGAGAGATCTTGAAAGCTGCTGGAGCAGGAGGTGGTTGAGATTACTGAGAGACACAATGAAGTCAACATTCAGGTTTGCAAACATATCTCCGCCTCTGTCTGTTCTGGCTTACCACAGGGCTAGTGGGATGGTGGTAACCTTCTAATTCCAAGGGTTCTCACTCAAAGCCCAGGGTATTTATCAAATAGTTCTGAGTCTTGCTTTTCAGATGTTGTTCTAAAAAACCTAGAAGTTAAAAAACAAAACAAAACCCCCAAACCTCCCCCTCACGTAGAATTATAAGAAGTGCTGAAGGGGTCAAGAGTGGAAAAAGTTTAAGAAGCCCTGAATTCTAGACCAAGCCCCTTAATTTTGCACATGAGGAAACTGAGTCCAAGAGACATTCAGAGCCTTGCTCTGAATCATAAAGGTGGGATTTGAACTCAAGTCCTCGTAGTCTAAATTCAACACTCATTTTACTCCATCATGTTGCTTCACTCAGTCTCTAAAAAACAACCCTCCCTATCTCTCCACTCTTCTTACATTTTACTGCCTTTTGTGTAATCTACAATTTAGCCATACTAGCCTTGCTCTTCCTCACATGGGACACTAGCTCCCAACTCAGAGCCTTTGGAATGGCTGTCCTCCAAGAGTGGGGTGCTCTGTCCTCTCATTTCTGCCTTCTGGATTCTGACTTACTTCACCACTCAGTTTAAATCCCACTTTTTACTGGAGGTCATTTTTAGTCCCTCCCAGGCTTTCTTGCTGAGATTGTTGCTGTTCAGTTGTTTCAACTGTTTCTGACTCTCTGGGACTCCATTTGGGGTTTTCTTGGCAAAAATGCTGGAATGGTTTGTCATTTCCTTCTCCAGCTCATTTTAGAGATAAGGAAACTGAGGCAAACAGGGTGAAGTGACTTGCCCAGGGTCACAGTGTCTGAGGCCATATTTGAACTCAGGAAGATGAGTTTTCATGACTCCAGGCCCACCACCCTACCCATTGTGCCACCTAGCTGCCCTTGGAGATGACCTTCCATTTTTTTCTGCATATATTTTATTTGTAGAGAGTTATTTACATGTTCTCTCCCCCATCAGAATGTGAGCTCCTTGAAAGCAGGAATTGTGTTTTTGCTTCTTTATGTCCCCTGTTCTGAGCACAGTGCCTGCCACATAGTATTTCATAAATGTTGGAGCTTCAGGCTGCTGCTCATCGGACAACACTGGAAAAGATTCTAAACTTTCCAAAATAGTGCTCTATCTATGTTAAGCTAGGTTTGTCTCCTCCCCCACACCCTAGAGAGAAAGATAGAAGGGTCCTCTAGGCCTCTGCGTCAATACTGTCTCTTCTTCTTTAGAACCAAAGTCTGCTAGCGGTCAAGCGGAAACTAGAATCAGACATCCAGCGCATCTCCAATGAACACAAGGAGCTCATCAGTGAATTCTGTACGGCTGATGAAAGAGCCAAGAAAGCTATGGCTGATGTAAGTCCTTTCCCCCTTCCTTTTGCCAATGAACATAATTGCATCAGAGAGGGTTCCCAAGACTAATACAGAGTGGATATCAGAATTTCTCCATTTCCTATAACTTCTCATTCTCTTCCCCAATACTTGCTTCTCATCCAACTTTGACCAAAGGCTTTCTCCACACCAAATAACATGCTCTTTCTGTACTCATCCCCCCCCCCAAAATGGCCAATCTCTGCTTCCACCAAACCATTTGTACCCCTTGGCATTCCTCAGGTGCCCTATGGAAATGCTCTCTTGAGCCAGACAATACAATTGGAAATACCACTCCAGCTCAGGATTGACCAGTTGGCCATTCAGTTCCTCAAGGCCAATGAGCTCCAAGTCTTTCAGTCTCTGAGGTCCAGAACAAATCGTCTCACTTTGCTTTATGCTGTGTCCCTGTCTCCTCCTAAGGCTGCTCACATGGCGGAAGAGCTCCGTCAAGAGCAGGATCACTGCATGCACCTGGAGAAAATAAAAAAGAACCATGAGCTCACCATCAAGGACTTGCAAGCTAAGATGGAAGGGCTGAACAGTTGGCTCTAAAAGGTGGAAAGCACACAATAATGAAACTGGAAGCCAAGGTAAGAGGGAAGTCCAGTGTCTGCCAAGCATTTCCTATTCAGCACATCTAACCCTGTGTTTACTAAGCTGCCTATAAAATAGAAAGGAGGGAGGGAAGGAAGGGAAGAAGGAGGGAGGGAAGGAAGGAAGGAAGGAAGGAAGGAAGGAAGGAAGGAAGGAAGGAAGGAAGGAAGGAAGGAAGGAAGGAAGGAAGGAAGGAAGGAAGGAAGGAAGGAGTCTGGCTGGGGCCAGAATGCTTTTTGCCAAAAACGTGTTCTGAGTTTGGACATGAAATGAAGATGTTGCGGAAAATGACAGTGAGGAGTGAGCTTTAATCTCTTTCTTCCTTTCTGTGCCCTAGAACAAGAAGCTAGAAAACACCCTACCATCAATCCACCTAGAATGCTCTTAGCCTCATTGTTGTATCCATCAGTATCTTCTCCTACTCAGCTTCCATTTAGCCTCTAAACATCCCTTCTTTTCCTTATAATTCTCACTCCCATACCACCATAAGAATAACTTCCCAGTCCCATTCCCCATTCCCATAGTGCCTTCCAGTTTGAAAACTTCTCTCTCTCTCTCTCTCTCTCTCTTCCTCTCTCCCTCTCTCTTCCCATGTCACTCTGTTTCTGTCTCTATTTCTCTCTCTCTCTCTCTCTCTCTCTCTCTCTCTCTCTCTCTCTCTCTCTCTCTCTCTTTCTCTCTCTTCCCCTGTTTCTCTCCGTGTCTCTCTCTGTCTCTGTCTTTCTCCATTTCTCTCTCTCTTCTGTCTGTTTCTCTCCTCTGTCTCTGTCTCTGTCTCTGTCTCTGTCTCTCTCTCTCTCTCTCTCTCTCTCACACACCCCTTTATATATTTTGTATCTACCTAGTTATTTACATGTTGTCTTGGCCAGTAGAATATGAGCTCCTTGATGGTAGGGGCAGTATTTTTGCCTTTCTTTGCATCCCCGGAGCTTAGCACAGTGTCTGGCACCTAATGCGTGTTGGAATGGTTATTGTAACCCCAATTTCTTTTCTAAGGTCACCATATTCTTGGGATTCTCCATTCTATAGCTGAATCCTTAAAAAAACCAAGTTCCTGGTTTACTCAGACAACCTTCTCACTCCGCCTCAGATTAAGGAACTGGAAACCGAACTAGACTCAGAACAGAAACGCCACGTTGAGATGGTCAAAACCCTGCATAAAAACGAACGTAGCCTCAAAGAGCTGCTGTTCCAGACAGATGAAGATCATAAGACCAATCAGCGCATGCAAGAGCTGGTGGAGAAGCTTCAGAATAAACTGAAGGTCTACAAGAGGCAAACTGACGAGGCGGTACGTCCTGGGAGTCCTCCCCTCGTCCTTCCTTCTCACGCCCTTTCCCACTGAACAGCCTCCCAAAAGGAGGAAGCCAAAATGTGATCCCAACCCTCGTGTTACCCCAGTCTCGGGAGGGAAGCATTCAGCCGTAGGGCTATTTCTGGAACCATTGTCCTAATTGGCCCTGCAACCCTGAGGGGCTGGGAAATGTTCACAGACGGCACACATTGTACCCTTAGAGATAAGAACATGCTAAAAAACAAGAATCACCCCTTAAGAATTCTTCATATTAATTAAGGCATGGAATGATTTAAAATCCCTTCTCCCTGCTCCCTTCAACTTGATGTCACGGCATTCACGACCTCCCTGGCTCCCTCTGCCTCCTGCCCCGCTCCCCCTTCCCGCCAACACACACTAGACTCATGCACAGCTTGCCATCACACTGAAGCTTATTGGTCATCAACTGGCCCTGTAAGGAATTTGAAATCAGAGCTCCTGGGAATGAAGTTTTTGTGTCCATCCTGTTCCAAGTACCAAAATAACTTCTAAGCTAAAGTGACATTGAAGAGTCTTGCAGTAAAAGTATAAAACTTAAAAAAAAAAAAAAGAATTACAAGTCTGCTTCTGTTTTTGCCTCTGCCTTCGCAGGAAGAGCAGGCCAACCAGACTTTGGCCAGGTACCGCAAGACTGTGTATGAGCTAGATGATGCTGAGGAGAGAGCAGGGATGGCGGGGACGGCCCTGAACAAGCTGCGGACGCGGCACCGGGTAGCCAGCAAAGGGATCACCTCGGTGGAGACCATCCTAGTGTCCAAGACTGGAACCTCAAAAACTATTTCTGAGGAATGAGATCCGCCGGTGCCTGACATCTACAGCTGGTAGGTCCTGGTCCGCCTGCCTCAGACTTCCTAGCAGGGACAATGGAGTAGGATGGGGGCGTTTACTCTTTGCATGGGGAGGAGGAGATTACATTCTCCTCCCTTTTTGGTGTTCTCCATGGCACCTAGCGCTCTACTGGACGTATACTAAGCATGCAATAAATGCTGAGGGATTATTTTAGGTTTTTCACCTTTTAAGGCAGGGAATTTTATAGATAGACAAAGCATTTATTAAGCTCTTACTATGTGCCAGGCCCTATGCTAAGCGGTTGGAATGCAAATATAAAAAAACCCAAACAGTCCCTATGCTTAAGGAGCTTCCATTCCAATAGGGGAAGATAAAACATAAAGGGGACCTGGAAACGGGGGAGGGAACCCCATGGTGGGGGCAAGGCAGTGGTGGGGGAGGGGGAGCAGTCTAGACCATAGGAGTCAAACTCCAGGCTTACTAGCTGCGAGGGGCCCACAGAAATCCCAAGTATAGCCTAAACCAGATTAGAATGTAAATGAGAAATGATTATATTTAAATTATTGATAATACTTATGAAACTCTTTTAAAAATATTAAATATATTTAAACAAAATAAATGAAAACACATAGATAATGTTAATTTGTGGTTTTCTAAGTCAGTCTGGGCAGCTATGGTGTATATAGAGCTCTGGGCCTGGAGTCAGGAAGAGTTGAGTTCAAATATGGCTTCAGACTCTTACTAGCTGTGTGGCCCTGGGCAAGTCATTTCACCCAGTTTTCCTTAGTTTCCTCACCCATAAAATGAGCACTAGAAAGAAATGGCAAACCACTCCAATATCTTTGCCAAGAAAACCCCAAATGTGGTCATAAAGAGTTGGACAGGGCTAAACAATAAAAACAAAGTCAATCTGTGGCCTACAGGGATCTGTTTCTATTTGAGTTTGACACCACTGATCTAGAGCACAAGAGGCAGCTGGGGGGGGGGGGAAGGGTGGTGTTTGAGTAGAAATGCCCTGGCTCCAGAGTTAGGGGACCTGGGTTCAAAGCCTGCTTCTATGGCTTACTACCTGTATTACCTTCAATAAGTCATTTAACTTCCATGGGCTTAATGTCCTCATTTGTAAAATGAGGGAGTCAAATTAGTTATCCTCTGAAATCCCTTCCAGCCCAAGATCTATGATCCTATGAATGGAGAAGCCCAAATACAATCCATGTGGCCATCTAGGTCCTCAAGTATTGCCCTTTGACTGAATCCAAACTTCACAGAACAAATCCCCTATAAAACTTGGACTCAATCAAAAGGCCACACCCAAGGACCTAGAAGGTCTTGAGGCCACAGGTTCCCCACCTCTGGTTCATTCTTTCATTTATTCAATAAGCATTCATTATGTATAGGCACTGTGAGTGAATGCTGGGGATATAAACACAAAAATAGAAATAATCCCTGCCCTCAAGAAATTAATATGTTATTGGGGGAAATAACACATATACGTAAAAGTAAATATAAAACATATGCAAACTAAGTACAAAATTTTTTTGAAGAGGGAAAGCTAGAGAGAGGCTGCTCAGTAATGAAATCTTGGTGTGGGTACTTAGGGAGAATAGGACCTAAGCACCTACTGCCAGGACCTCCACTAGCTCTAGAAATTCTTTCCACCCAACCTTTAATCAACTGGTCACACTGGCATTCAAGGAAGTCTGGGGTGGTTCCCACACTTGTTTTCACACCTTCTTTCACTGGAGTAGTATTTGGTTTGGGTGTTAACCACAGATGACAGACCCAATGACCTCAATTCAAGGAGACCCTTTGCTCTCCATATTAACTTATATAAAAGGAAACAGGAAATGGAATGTTGGACCTTTTTCTTAAATCTCTGCATCTGAAATTTTGATCACCTTGGTTAAATTTAGGAAACAAGAGGCCTGAAGTTAATGTATCATGGTCTCCTTTTGGAGGAAATCCTGGAAGGAAGTTTTCTAAGTTGAGATTTGACCTCAGCCATACCTTACTCATGCAGACATCATGTTAACACCTGCAATAGAACTGACACAATTCACTCTAGGCAGCCATGATTTCATTTCCTTGTTTTCTACCACTTACAGGGACGTCTATTACAATAACCTCCTAATGCTCTACCCACCTCCAATCTCTCCCCACTCTCCAACCCATCCTATACAACACTGCCAGATTGCTGTTTGTTGTACCATTGTTTTCTATCGTTTCCGACTCTTCATGACCCTATCTGGAGTTTTCTTAGCAAAGACACTGTAATGGTTTGCCATTCCTTCTCTAGATCATTTTACAGATGAGGAAACTGAGGCAAAAGGGGTGAAATGGCTTGCCCAGGGTCACACAGATTGTAAGTGTCTGAGGCCGTATTTGAACATAGGTCTTCCTGACTCCAGGCCCAGCTCTCTATCCACTATGCTGTCTAGTTGCAGCTTCCTTGATGTTTCTCGAACGAGACACTCCATCTCCCAATTCAGGGTATTTTCATTGGTTGTCCCTGCCCTCCCATGCCAGGAATGCTCTCCCCCCTCATCTCCATCTCCTGGATTCCTTGACTTCTTTAAAATCCTAGCCAAAATTCCACCTTCTATCCGAAACCTTTCCAGATCCACTTTTTAATTCTAATGCCTTCTTTCTGTTTGATTATTTCCAATTTATCCTGTATGTAGCTTGTTTGTACATAGCTGTTTGTGTGTTGTCTCTTTCACTACCCTATGAACTCCTTGAGAGCGGGGACTATCTTTTACCTTTCATTGTATTCCTGGCACTTAGCAACAGGACCTGGCACATCCTGACTGATTCCCACAATCTATCCTGGACAACTTAGAATCAGGGGCTTTAGCCTTGAAAGGAATTTCAGAGATCATCTGGTCCAACCCTTTCATTTTTCAGATTAGGACACCAACGGAAAGTGGCATGTCCCAGGTCACATGGTAGTAAGAGGCAGAACTGGGATTCAAACCCTGGTCCTCTGGCTCCAAATCTGTGTGGAATAGGTATGGAAAAGTGGCATTCCTGACCAGCTGGTAGAACACAGAGTTTGAGTTTTCTTATGAGTAGGAATGGGCCATAGAGGACAAAAAGCTGGACTTGTGATCAGGAAGACCTAGGTTCAAGTCCTGCCTCTGACTGGCCATGTGACTTTAAATTTTAAGTTGTAGAATAGTGCCAGTCTACATTGGTAGAGGGAATTCTTCACCAAGAGCTGTCTCCATTGATGTAATCACTGGTCAGGTCAGAAAATAAAAAGCAAAAACAAAGGATAGATTTTTATGGAATTAGCTATTTATTTTTCACCCAGTCCCTAAGATAGTCAAGGGCACATGATTGAAAGACAGTTAGAACAGAGTAAAAATGAAATTCCCCATTTCTCATGTGGGAAAATTGAAATCATGACTTGGCATCAGTAGTGCTATGAGTCAAATAACAAGTTAGTCAACAATTAATCAACAAACATTTATTAAGTACCTACTACAACCCAGACACTGTGCTAGGTGCTGGGGATATGACTAAAGAGAATGAAACAATTCCTTCTCACAAAGAGCTTACATTCAAATGGGAAAGAGGGGTGTGTGTGTGTGTGTATGTGTGTGTGTGTGTGTGTGTGTGTGTGTGTGTGTGTGTGCGCGTGTGTGTTCGGAGATACTTCAGGTTGGGTTCCAGACTACCGAGATAAGGTGAATATTGCAATAAAGCAAGTCACACCAGTGCACATAAAAGCTATGTTTACACTAGACTGTTGTAGATTAAGTGTGCAATAGTAGTATGTCTAAAAAATGTATGTACTTTAATTTAAAAATACTTTCTTGCTAAAAAATATTAACTACCATCTGAGCCTTCAGCTAGCCATAATCTTTTTGTTGATGGAGGGTTTTGCCTCTATGTTGATGGCTGCTGACTGATCAGGGTAGTGGTTGCTGATGCTTGGGGTGGCTGTGGCAATTTCTTAAAATAAGACAACAGTGAAGTTTGTCACATCGATTGACTTCCTTTCATGAAAGATTTCTCTGTAGCATGTGATGCTGTTTGATGGTATTTTATTCACAGAACTTCTTTCAAAATTGAAGTCAGTCCTCTCAAACCCTGCCACTGCTTTGTCAGCTAAGTTTATATAACATTCTTCAATATTGTTGTATCTCAGGGAATAGGGAGGCCCAAGGAGAGGGAAAGAGATAGGGGAGCAGTCAGAACACACACATATTTATCAATTGAGTTCACTGACTTATATGAGCATGATTCTTGGTGCCCCAAAACAATTACAATAATAACATCAAAGATCACTGATCACAGATCACCATAACAGATATAATAATAATGAAAAAGTCCAAAATATTGCAAGAATTACCAAAATGTGACAGAGGGACACAATGTGAGCACATGCTGTTGGAAAGATGTCGCCAATAGATTTGCTCCGTGCAGGGTTGTCACAAACCTTCAATTTATGAAAAAACAAAAAAACATAATCACAATATTTGCAAAGCACAATAAAGCAAAGCACAATAAAATGAGGTATGCTTGTATACATACATACACATATGTATATATCCACATGTGTGTGTATATGTGTGCATATATACACATAGCATATATATCATTAAAAATGTATATATTTGTCCACTGACAAAATTTAATTTGTGAGGGTAAAGTTAGATAGAAGAATACTGTGCTTGCTATGATGGATGTTTTCAAAAAAAAACCATAAACATTCATTTGCAGTCCGTTGGTGGGACACAATCCAAAGGAGATTCTCTTCCTGGTACAGACAGGCAGTACAAGAGCTGCAAATGAGCAGCATGATTTACACCTAGAGGCTCCCCCACAGGCACATTATCTGTGTTTACTTTAATCCCAGAGGGCCTCACTTTCACACTTGGGCAGGCTCCTTCCTGGTGCAGCTCCCAGTTCAACTCCCAGAAATTTCAGGAACAAACAGGTCCCGCCCACACTCACAATAAAGGTGTCACCATGCTAGCTAATGGCATTCACTGTTTTTTAGGCAAGGGTGTGATAAGGTGTGACTACAAGTTGTCCATTAAGAAGAAGGTGGCTGTGGAAAAACCTGTCTAGGGAGACTGCCATTTTGGGGATCTGCCTGGGGAGGAGAACGGGTAGAGAAGAGAGAAATCACAGCCCATTTGCATTTTCTCATCCTCCCCCTCCCTGTTTCTCTTTCTCCAGGGTGACACAGAGCTCAACAGCAGCCCATTGTATGGAAGAAATAATGAAAAAAAGAAAACTGGGCCTATTAAGAAGATGGGTATTATGCAAAGAAAAGGCAGAACAAGATAGGAGCTGAAAAATAAAGAGAGCTATGAATAAACGAGCTAAGAGGTTTAAAAACCCAGACTTGGCAAGGTCTGTAATCAAAGTTGCTCCTTTCTGAGACCCTGTATCAGTATAAGTTGTCAGAAACAATGGGCCTATTTTTAAGTGAGATCTTCTTACATGCTCATGTCAAGGATGAACATGTAATATATTTGTGTGAGCTGGCTATCTTCTTTCTGTAAATAATCTCTCATTTGGACAATCTTGATGCTTCGTCCTAATGAGTTTAAATAAAAGTAATATCAACAAAAAAGTGTGATGGACATTCTTTTGTTTTTCATGAAATAGTTTGATTTCTTTCCTTTTTTTTTCCTGCACCCTCTAAATCTAAAAGGAATATTTAAACAAACGTAAAGTCCAATTTTAGAAAAATTTTATGACGTGTAGTTAACACGCAATATTGGACCACTGTCATCTTAACTCACAAGCTTTGCCTCTCTCAGAGATGATTTAAAAAATAATGCAGAGTAGGAAAAACTCTTTGCACCCAATTAGTATACCCAATTTCTAAGCTAAGGGGCTGAGAAATATTCCCCAAGCTGACATAGCCATTCAGTCAACGTGTATTATGTAATCTTATGTGTATTCTTTCAAAAGCATTTAATAAGCGCCTATAAATTGCCAGGCAGAGAAGCAGCATGGTGTAGTGAATAGGGAACTGGCCTCAAAGCTAGGAAGACCCGAGTTCAAGTCCTCACTTTGACATAGACTGGTTGTATGATCACTGGACAAGTCACTTAACATCTCTGAGTGCCCTAAGCAACTCTCTGAGACTCTAAATTGCAAAGAAAGTGTTAACATCTGCATTGATGGAGGACATTTTCCCACCTGGAAGTTCCCTATACCAATGACATCACAGATCCCATCTCCTCTCTGAAAGAGGCGATGGAAGCAAAAGTTTAGTACTAAGCTAGAACTCATCTACTCTGTGAACACTGAAAATGGAGATTTCCCTGTAGACTATTTGGGAAGGGAACTTCTGAACCCCCATTCTCTACTGGGGCCACTTTTGGCGGTGCACATATATGAGTCTATTGCCCTCTAGTGGTCGGGGACCCAGAAAGATATCTTTGGGGATAAAGTGAACTAAGGACTTCAAGTCTGTGTCCATGCAAGGAGAAATCTCAGGAAGGTATATTAGTATAATTTGGTAAGTGAAATTGGGTCTTTTATTGGAAAAAAATTTCCCAAGAGATTTGTAGAAATGTCCTGGGAAAAACAGACTTTGGTGGCACCCAGCCTGGCAGGTTTCATCTTCCTCATCAGTAAGTATTAATGTTTACAAATCACATTACATTCATTATCTCATTTAGTTCTCACAACAACCCTGTGAGGTCGGTGCTATTATTATCCCCATTTAATAGATGGGGAAACTGAAGCAGAGGTTACATGACTTACACAAAGTCACACGGGTTATTAAGTATCTCAGAATTTGAATAAAAATCTTATCAAATCTAAGTCTGGTACTCTGTCCGCCATGGCACCTAGCTGTCCCATAAATATAGTAAGGACTTACTAACAAAGTAACATGCTAGGTGCTAGGGATGCAAAGACAAAAAAAGGGAAAACGGTCCCTGCCCTCAAGAAACTTACATTCTACTGAATTTGGGGAGGAGGGGGCACCGCATCTAAGTAAAGACATTATATATAGAGGTGCAGCAATGGCAATTTCGGGAAAAAGAAAAGCAAGCCACTTTGTAAAGAGGGATCTTTATCAAGTTCTTCACATCTGGCCTCTCTGAATCCCTTAGGTACTTCAAGGCTCAAGTGCCAGCTCTTAGACATGAGGTCTTTCTTGATACCTCCCATCAATAGCTATTTCCCTTTCCTACCCCAACATCCTAAGAAATGATTCACTTTGTATACATTTTTAATTTCTCTGGGTACATGTGGTTTGCCTAACAGAATATAAGTTTCTTGAGAGCAGGGATTGTCTCATCTTTGTCTCCAAACCCAGAACCTAGCTCAGAGCCTGCTTGCTCACTGAATTGCATTGCTTAAATATCACAATTTTTTCTAAAAGTAAACTTCATTACAATATACAGTACATAGCGTAGGTCTTTGAACTTATCCAGGAAGATGAGAAAAATGCTACTGACCCACCATTAGTATTGTTTTGTTTTTCTGGGAAACCAAATCTATGGAAAAGGGTTATACATTGTCTTACCTGCTTCATATTTTAGCTAATGGTGTATAGCAGGATGGCTGGATGAGGTTAGAAGTGAAGACTATAAGTATAGAAAAGAGTGTTGGTAACTGCACAAAGTGGGAATCAAGACCATAGCATGAGCACCCTGTTCAACCAAGGTAATAGACCAAAGACTGCTACATGTTAGCTCCAGTAAAACGTAAGTTCTTTCAGGATTAGGATTGGTTTTGTTTTGTTCTAGCTCAGTGCCTGGCATATAGGACATGGACTGAATCTGTGGTTTCACAAGAATAGAGAATTCCCAGATAAGGAAACTCCATTTACTGATTTAGGTTATCATTTTTTGCTGCTACTTACAATCTTAAGAGAGCTGCCTAGAATACTGAGAGTTAAATGATTTGCTTGAGGATCATTGAGCCAGTATGTCTCAGAGATGAGACTTGAACCCAGGGCTTCCTTTTTATAAGGCTAGCTCTCTATCCTCTATGTCATGTTGCCTCTCTGCTTGGCACATAGTAGGTACCTTATAAATGTTTGTTGACTACATAATAGGGGGCAGCTAGTGGCATAGTGGATAGAGCACCGGCCACGAAGTCAGGATGCGGCCTCAGACTAAACACTTGACACTTACTAGCTGTGTGACCCTGGGCAAGTCACTTAACCCCAATTGCCTTAAAAAAAAAAAGACTACATAATAGTAGTCTTAATACTTTTACTGATCAGCCATAATAGTTCGGGGCATATTTCTCAGCTTCCTTGGCTTACAAATGATATTGAATTTGAAATGAAATATGAGATCCACCAGCCTCTCTCCCCTTCCCTAGCACAAAACCCTGCTGATTGGTATATAGGAAATCACATTTGTAAATCAAATCAGGCATGGAGGAAGTTTTTATGGCACTTAGATTTGGGGGAATGTGTGCCAGGAGTGATGAAGGTTATGCTCATGGGGCATATATGACTATATCCAGTCTTCATAGGGACAGAATCATCTAGTAATGCAATTCACTATCATCCTGAATGATGAAGGATAAACTTAGAGACCACAAAGAGCAACTGATCTCAAGAGTATTTGCTGTCTGTGTTTGTTATCTTTCCCTCAGAGCCTCCTTCCTCAACAGGTCTCTGCCAAGAACTTCACTTGTGAACATGAAATTGGTAGGAGGGCCACAAGTGTATTTACATTAAGTACAAAGTAAGCATTTAAATGAGTGTGTCAGCCTAAGTCAGGCTTTATCTTCTTCAAACAACATCAAAGTTCTCCACCCCAAGACGAGGGAAACTGGTAGATAGCCTCCTGTGTGTTTTTAGAAGTAAAATTTAAATCATGGATAGCTTAAAAGGGACACCCTTTAAAGTGCTTAGCACAGGGTAAGCACTTTAGAGATGCTTTTTTTCCTCTTTCAATCATTCACCCAACCACTATCTTCACAGTAGGAAAAATGATGCCACTTTTTACTTCACTGCCACCTATAACATGCCTGCATCTCTCCAAGTACAAAGTTGACATATGGTATTTATGAGAATTTGGTATGCTTTTTATATGCTATACTTGCTTCTAAATGTGAATTCTGGGAGGCAAAAGGACCACCTGAGAAGCATGCATGAATTCCTGATGGCTTCCAGACAAAAATACTATTTCAATTCAATTCAGTTGAGCATTTATTAAACACCTACTAAATGCTAGTACCCTGGAGAAACAAAGTTCAAAAAATGAAGTCATCTCTGCTCTCAAGGAACCATATTCTGCTGGGGGAAATAACACATACAAAAATAAATAAATACAAAAGTAACTGTGGATTGGGGGAGAACACCAAAGCCTTATGTAGGAAGTGGCCTTGAGTTGAGCCTTGAAGAAAACTAATGGATAGAGATGAAGAGGCCCCATCACTGACTGGTCTCATTCCTATTCAGTAAAGAAGCATGCAACTAGTAGTCTCCAAGAGTATACTTTACTGGGGGCAGTGGATAGAGCACTGGCCCTGGAGTCAGGATGGACCTGAGTTCAAATCCGGCCTCAGACTAGACATTTGACATTTACTAGCTGTGTGACCCTAGGCAAGTCACTTGACCCCAATTGCCTAAAAAAAAAAAAAAGGAAAAAAGTGTACTTTATTGGAATTCTCTAAAAACAATAACAAAACATGATGATATTGCAATTCATCTTTACCTTAACCCCTTCCCTTCTCCAGTCTGAATCTCTATTATTTCCTTAGATTGAATTTATGATTCATACATCTCTCCCAAAATGTAATTTCAGCAACTGAGTTTCTAAGAAATAACATCAAAGTTCTCCACTAGGAGATGAGAAAATCCCTGATAGACAGCCTCTCAATAACCTGTCATTATAAGAGTTACTGCTCATTTCAGACTCAAATTTGCCTCCAACCCACACAGACCTCAGGGTTTCAAGCCCTTTCATCCCTGCAGATCAAGGCATCTGCCAAACTGATTCATGAGCCCGAGGATAGAGAAAATTTTACTTGTGCCACCAAATGAATATAAAAGAAGGGGAAATGGCCATTTCCCCCATCAGGTGGGACCATTTAGTTTGACCTTATCTTTCTCACAGAAAGCATTAATAGAGGGAATTTCCAGAGGGAAATGGGAAACTGCCAATGCACTGAACCGTACAAAATTCTGTCTACATAGACTCTTTTGTCCTGGGCCTCATCTGGCAATAACCTTATGCCTCAAATTATAAGGACTATCATTGCTTATTAATATGTAGCCATCCACTACCCTTGGTAGTGAACAGAGGCCCTATCTTGGAATCAGGAAAACCTGGGTTTAGGTCTTGCCTCTGACCTATACTAGCTATGTGATCATAGGTAAGTCACTTACAGGGTTAATGCCCCAGGCATTTCTCTAGAAGGTGCCCACAAAGGAGGAAAGCAGAGGTCTGGACAAAAACAACATATATTTTGAGGTTTTAATCCCTTTGTTTAAAGATTACAAGACATCTTTATAGATGTCAGTCCATTCATTCTTACCTTTGAGGTAGGTAAGTAGCAAATGTTACTGACTCATTTTGACAGAGATTCTGAGGGATACCAAAGTTAAATAATTGTGGCACAAATGAAACCACTTCA